TCAATGAATAGCGTTGGGCTAAGTGTCGTAGATGTAGATTCGTAATGAATGTAATGAGTTCCCTAGAGACAGGGCAACTCGATTGGCTAAGTGGTGCTTGCTCACGTAGACTGGTTTGTCCAAGTGGGAAGAGAGCCAGCTCCCAGTGTTATAGACCAGAGTGGCAATAATAGAGTATGTTATGAGTTGTGCAAAAGGAGCGACTAATAGTGGAATACCTTGGTTAACCGTGTGTAAGGAAGAGAGCGGCGAGGCGAGAAGAGGAGTAAAAAGGCAGGTTAATGGAGGGGCGGTGCAGAACACAGAGAGATATAAGGATGCCCTCGGACGCAACAGGGCCTCTACAAGTATGTACACTGACAGTTCGATTATAATTCAACACGGCCAGTCGGAACATCGGTAGGAGCTAAGCCGGGTCTTCTTGATACATGGAAACCTGGCCACGTCTGTGAACTCGACAACAGGAGAGACTGGCGTGCTAAGTCGCGCTTGGCTTTCTCGAAAGAGACAGGCAAGACAGGGCAGACAAGGACCAGCGGGCGGGCTCTGCAAGGATTTACAATACAAGGGTTCAGTGGGTTACATCTGTTCGTCGATGATGTGTTGCGAGGAATAGTCAAGTCTTTGAAATAGGGTAGAGTGGTGAGCGTATGGGGGAGCAACGGAGAATTGGATGGGTCTCGGGTACCTAGCATGTAAGAAGTAGCCAAAAACCGATTAGACTAGGGACCAGGGCTGTCCCCCCGGTCGTAAATATCCATGGCAAGTCCCAACTTTTTTGGGATAGCTAGGCAGGGGTTATGATATAACAGGACGGACGTAATTTTGATGTTGAGTACGGAATACATAGAAAATGGGAAATTTCATTAGACTAAGGGAAAAAAAAAAGTATGCTTGGCGAGAGAGAAAATTTAGAGTCTAGATACTACTCACTATTTTTAGCCTGTATCGTCTGTACCATCTGTACCGTTGAGCCTCATAGTAGGTGACTGGTCTTGGTCTCATGTTATGCCCGGCCATGTGGCAAGGAGTAAAATATATGTACGGTAACTAGGCTCAGACAGCTAGCGTGGGATAAAAAAATAAAAATAAAAGGCTGAGCTGACGAGACGACATCCGAACTACGAGAGCCGCGAAAGCTAGCCTTGGAGGATCGTATACCATCTATGTTGTACGTAGGCTCAGAAGGAGTAGGCAAGATTCTAGTGCCGTAGTCGTATGACACCACCATGACACCTTCGTCGGTCGGATATGTCGATCTGGAGAAGCTAGGTTCCTGAGAATTACAATACGTACCTTATTACTGTAGGTTTTGGAAACACCTTCTGGGGTCTTTGTGGAGCAACAAGGACTCGCCGTGCTATCACGCGAATAGGGCTTGCTGCTAAACACATCCTGTTCTAGGTATGCATGCGGTAATCGCAAGTAGCTTAGTTGACAAGGCAATACCTACGAACACGGTATGCTGTGTGGCTATTCGGGTTAGTCTGCTCGTAGCGCTTAGAGATATCTAGGGATCTCGAGTGAAGTTTCGAGACGACCCACGAAGGACGTCTCGTTGGACAATACGCGCAAAATAGACGAACTCATTAACAGAATTCGGAATATGCGAGATTGACCAAAGCGCCAGGAGGCGCGCATGTGTGCAATCAAAGCTCAAGACCCGCCGATTCCCCAAGTTTTTAAACAGTGGAATCTCGTCGGGTTAACCGACTCTGGGTGCGTTAATTTGGTCATTAGATGCCGAAGCAGTAGAAACGTTGGTTCGATAGAGACGCGCAGGCGAGCTCATCTGAAGACGGGATAGCCAAGAACTGCAGGGGAGACATAGACCGACGAAGCCACGATTTGGATGATTCGGGAATAGTGATAAACAGCCAATGGCGGCAGAGAGGGCGAATGGATGGGGAGGCGGAGCTCCCGTGATGGAGGGGAGACGATGCGTGGTGGGCTGCGCGACACTACATAGCATGAGCTCTGACCTCTCTGGCCCTCTGAGATGGCATGTATGGTATGTATGGCATCGTGGAGTGGTGTGGCCGGGGGGGTATTCAGATAAAACTCTGGCGCGATCGAGAAGGGTATGTTCGAGCGAAGTAGTACAATCGAAAGCGGATTCGCAACCTCTGGTTTGCTCGAAGACGCGCAGAAACGCAGAAATGCAGAAACGTCTTGCAGACTGCAAGGCGTGTTGGACGATTGTGTTGGCTCGGAGACTGAAAGGGCTAGGGACGACCGGAGGCTCTAGACTCAGACGATGCCGACCAAGATTAGGAGTGTGTCGTCTCCGTTCGTCAGCGGAGCGCGTTTGATGTTGAATTTTAGTTGCGTTGGGCAGTTTTGCGATTGGTCGGGCGGAGAATAATATACAGGAAGGAGGTGCATGGAACAGGGGTTATCATCCCTGACGCGTCTCAGAATCTGTAACAGAACGGCTGACCCTGGATTACCCCTGGCCCGCCCCCACTTGCCTTTCAGTCCCGAATGTCAAAAAATGTATCTAAAAGATCCAGACTCCACCTCTGAAGCTGCGACCTGCGTCTACGCCCGCACGCTGCATTCGGTCTAACATAACATCGATATCTTGTGACGATTCGGCACAGATAAAAAAAATATTTAGGAACGTGATCCGTACATGGAAGCACAACTTGGATGGTGGGAAGAGACGATGGCTCACACAAAAGGTCACAAAGGTGCGCCACTTGCAGAATAACCGTGCCGTCCTGGCCGTCTCGAGGGAACTCTGCGCGCCATGATAAGAAAGCGGCTGATGGAGAACTGGTACTACGTTGGCAGGTTGGTTATCGAGTCGCCATTGAAATTCATTTTTAGAAACACTTTACCGGGGCGTCTGGGGTATGCTCAGTATTATGTACCTGCGTATACTATGTATACATATATAGAGGTACCCAGGTATGTATGTACGAAGTACAATACATACGTACCTCTTTAAGTTCCAAGGACCGGTAGAATGTCCAAGCGTTGGGATTCGGTTACATAGTACGCTGGACTCTCTCTTAGCCCGTCTCTCTACGGAATAGTGTAATCCCTCTTTAATGCTTCGACGTTGCCTTCGGCCCCTCCATGTTTCGATAAAGCTTCGAGAAACAAGCCTTGGTCTTACCGATGCGCCGTTATATGTGAACTAAGTTGGTACGGTATGTCTCTCCGAGTCCCTTCATCTCATAAAGATTGTTTTGTTTCCTTAAGAATCGGCTTAAGAATCGGGGACCATAAATCAAGGAGCTTGATAACCCCGCAATTCCAAGTTTTAAAGTTCGATAGTTAGAAACATCTGATAACTAGCGATTTGTTTGCTCCATCTTTTGCTTTTTAAAGCTTTGATCTTCAGAGGTAGTTCTTATTGTCGGTTAGGTACCTAACGTACCACGTTAAGCCTTACCGTTATTAAACGTTAGGTATAGAAAATCTACGCCCGCGCTAAAGAAAGCGGCGCCTGTATTCCGCCAGGATTGACTTCATTGTTAAACCCATGGTCGAATATCTACCATGAGGGTCACGCTCGGAATTGCGGTCCTTTAGGGTCGTCCAAACAGGTTTTGACTGCTTTACGACGCACCAACCGTAAGGCGGCCTTGGAATAATTCCGGTCCCCAACAGGCAGTTATAATAAGCGTTATTATCATATGTACTACTGCGCGGGGCGATCTTCGGGTCCTCAGATCGGATACCAAACCGGGCTTTCGAAGCTTCTTATCGATATACCAAGTAATGAATGGGTAATAATATTCTTGCCTTCTTGCCAACCCGCGTAAGCATTCCATGTATTCCATGTGCTTACACCTGTACATGTGCGAGGGCGTACCGAATATAAACGCCATCCTTCTGCATCTACTAGTCACCCGCGTCTTACAAGGCTTGTAGGCTTGCAGACGTTATCTCGGTTGCGGCCGGTATTTTAGTGTAAGACGAAAACAGCTACGGGATAGCCCTAGGGCCTAAGATGCGAAATGTACCTGCATCGTATATGAGTATGCTATTATATACGTTCGCGCTGCCGTAAGCGGGCTAATCAGTCCTTCGGGCGAGAGCGAGATGAGATGAGGCACACGCATGTATAGGTATTGGGTATAAGATGTACGTATGTAGTATAAGAAAGGCATGGATTGGAGCTGCATCGATTTAAGTGTGTGCCTTATCTAAACATGTATGTACATGTCTCATCGGATGGGTCGGCTGACGGAACGTGGCTTACACGGTACGGCACGACCTGCTTCCTTTTTCTAACTCGGGCTACTACGTTGGGTATCGCGAATACATACATGTATCTACTGTACCTGTATACTGCAATTACCTGTATGCACTTTGGAGCTGCATTTACAGGTATATGCGCGGAAAACATGTTCTAACATTACTTGGTTATCATTCTCATCGACAATGCAATGCAAATATCACCCTATTTTTTCTCTCGAGGAAGTTCATCGTATGTACGTAACTACGTATCATTCGATTTGTTTGATATGGGAATTACACCGAGAGTCTGACCTCGGCCGCCGCATCTGGTGAGCGTCCTTTTAATTAGTTCCTGCCAGATCGTGTCGTGTAAAGTGGACAAGGGGTGGACTCTTGGTCTTTCCATATGTTCTACGAATCGTTCTATGGGGCCGCTTTGATACCCACTCCGGGGCTAGTTTACCGGGATAAGCACCGTCCCGTCTCATCGCATAACGTTGTTGACTTCTTTGGGAAATTATTCAATGCTCGCTTTTACCCGCAAGCCCCGTTGCCTTTAAATTTAGTAACTACTATCGCCTTTTCATCATGAAGATCGCAAGCTGACGATGACGAGATCACTTCCCCAGATACCTAGCGTAGACCCATTGGAAGATCATATCATGCGTTAAACCTAGTAAGCGAGAGGTCTAACAGAACGTAAAGGTTCCGATTTGCGTAGTAGACCGCATGCTCCGAACAAAGCCTGGTTGGCATTAACCATACCTCGTAATTTTCATACAAGTCGAATATTCGTTTTTGCAACCCTGCTTTAACTACCGTTTAATTAATCGTATTAAAGACTCTCTGAACGACAACCCTCCATGAGACATAACTAGATAAGAATAGCTCACTGGTTCCTTTAGTTACACTAGCCTCAGACGGCATATGTCATCTGTGTAATAGTATAGTTATTCCATTTTTAGCAATTTCTTTGATATCAGTGATGAATTCTGGCGCGAGAACCTGATTTATAGCAGACCGGCTCTCCTGCCGATGACGATAAATGCTAATCTTCGTGGCAACATTATTCCTTGTTGATCTTCTTCCAGACTTCAGTTTCCGCTGCCGCAATCTTCTCTCCTGTCTGATGAGCCCATTTCTTCGCAGCTTCCCAAACCCCACTTTCTGAATTCCCTGTCTGATCTTCTACCGCACTCCGCTGAATAGATGACCTCTGGTAATTATCGAGCTCAGAAGCGTTAGAATTCTGGTAGTATCCCGGAGGGTGCTCCAAGCTGTGATGACTTGCTTGACCACTTAAAGCTGTGGAACCCTGGCTGCTATATTCTGAAGTAGGCACTGGGGCTATAGATGTACCCCGCTGTTGAGACTGATAGGATGCAGTAGGTGGGGGGATTGCCATCTGCTGAGGATACGGTATGTTTATGGGCTTCTCACCTGCTTTAGGCGGTGGCGGTATATTCGGGTTAGTGACACCGGTTGGGACAGGGACGGCGCCAGGTTGCGGTGCTGGGGGCCCGTCATGATTAGCTTGAGAGGCATCTGCCGTCGCAGTTGGAAGTGAGGGCACGGCGCCAGGTTGCGCGGACGGATAGGCCTGGCTGGATGGAGTAGGCAATGAGCTAGTTGGGGTTGGCTTTGAAGTGGACGATGGTGGAGCAGTCTGTGGCGTCACTCCCGAAGCCTTCGCGGCAGTAATAGGGCTGTCCGTATAGACTGGGATGGGAGCCATGGTGAGAAGGTGCACACAAAGTGACTAGACGGGATCTATGTAAAAGGAGAAATTCTAATGTGTAAATGTAGTTTAAAGGGGGTTATAACATTGAGAAGCTACAATTCGAATATTGCGTTGTCAAGATTGTTTACGTACGTTATGTAAGTCAGACGGGACAAACGTAAGAGGCTGGGAGGTGGTAGGCAGGCATGAGTTAGGTAAGGAAAGTAGGGAGGACAGCTATATGAGTCGAAAAGCGACGTCATAGGTGTTAGGTTGTCAGGTGACTCAGCTTCGACTTTAGCCTTCTTCGTACCAAGAGAAAGGAAAAATAATTTAATCAGAAAATTTGTTTATTCGTCATATACTTAGTGAAACTACCTAATGCTAGCCGGTTTGTTTTCGAGTATCTTTGTTTGCTTGTTCGAGAGAGGAGCTATACCAACTGGCCGGTGTTTTGTAAATAAGTCATAGTATTCTTTTATAAGAGAACTAGAAATTAGATTATTAGAATGAACAACTGCTAAAGACAACATTTATAATGAAATAGCTTATTAAGCTGCTAGAAAGTATGGATTAAAGAAGACTACCTCTTAGGTAGGATGTATTAAATATCTTGATTAACAACGTGCTGGTTTGAATTTGAAGATTATTGCACTTCAATGTTCTAGATTAACTAGTTGGATTTGACTGCAATAGCTTGTTTGGGTCTTATCTAGACACCATACATGATAGGATAATCCAGCTACCGAATTCCGCTACCAAGCATGGGTACTAAGCTCAAATAAGGCTTAGCGCGCCCCCGGCTCCAGAACAAATATCAGGTAACATTAGCTAGGCTAAGGTTAGCTGAGTACCAACTGGTGCAGCCGCGACTGATTGATTTGATAATGGCCCAAGCCGCAGGGACAAGAGGGCAAGCTCGAAGACAAATTCACTGTAGACGCAAAATAAAATTCCACCGCGCCCAATACTTGAACAATTTTTCGTAATGTATCGGTAATCCGACCCCTTCTTCCCCTTCTCCTTCTCCCACCACAAATGCTAGAACAACAAATACATATCTACGTAGATGCAGCCATCATCACCACATCCGCCATTCATCTAATACCTAATACGTAACCATGGTCGGTAAAGTTAGCGAGAAAGTCCTCCTTCGGGAAGGTTAGTTATTACTTGCTTTGTTGACCCTGCGCGCATATATGAAGCTGACATGATGGTACCAAAGGACTTGAACGAACCGACAATGGCATGAAGCAGACGAGCTGGCCTGATGTTACGCCAATCAACCAAAAGAACTATTACACGTACGCGACGCCCTCGATACATTTGTATATTATACACACAATGATGTCCCAGAAGCTGATTGATATATTCTACTTTGTAGGGATTACATGAAACGCGATGACCAAATACTAGCACTTCGACTGCAGGCCGAGGCGAATAGAGATAGACTCGTTCAGAGTGCAAAGGATCGTGATCGTGCTCTTGCGCGCAACGGACACGCTGAGGTACCGCTACCAGTTCCAGACATCCAACCCGAGGATGCTGCTCCGGCAGTCAGCGAGGGCTTGGACCCTTCCAAGGTTATTGTGATACATCCGGGGAGTCAAAATCTTAGAATAGGTTTTGCTAGCGACGCCTTGCCCAAGACTATACCTATGGCAATTGCAACCAAGTTCCCCCAAACCGAATCCGAAATGTATGAGGCTCTTCCTCGCCGACAGTTTGAAGCCGCGACTACAGACCAACAATACGGCGAGGAGTGGTCTAAGAAGTATCAGAAGATGTCCAATGATCTCAAGGTGGATATGCGATCTAGGAAACTTAGAGTGCTGCCAAATTCGAAAGAATTGGTTGTGAATCACAACAGACGAACTGAATCCAAAGAGATCTCATTACATAATGACCCTCTCCAGATCGAATGGACCGACGTTAAGACTCTCGAAGATCCCAACTCGCTCGCCTCATGCTTCATAGGTCAGGCGGCTCAGCGCATTCCCGACGACTCTAACCCCAAATTCAAGCTATGGTGGCCGATGCAACACGGCTGGCTAAACGAGGACGATTATACGACTGCAGAACATTTATATGACGACTTCGAAACCCTCCTAGACAAGGCTATTAGACAGGAGCTTGGACTGACGAGGAATAGTACATGGAAGAACTATAGCTGCGTCTTCGTGATTCCTGATTTATACGACAAGAAATACGTGGAACAGATCCTCAAATCGTGCATGACTTGGTTCGAATTCAGTCGGATATGTTTTATTCAAGAAAGCATGGCTGCGACATTCGGTGCTGGGTATACGCAAGCGTGCGTAGTCGATGTCGGGGCCCAAAAGACCTCGATTGCATGTGTCGAAGACGGACTATGCATCGAGGACTCCCGCGTCAACCTCAAATACGGCGGCTACGACGTGACGGAAACATTTATGAAGATGATGCTTTACGACCACTTTCCTTACCAGGATATTAATCTTAGGAGACGGTACGACTTCCTCCTAGCCGAGGAATTGAAGATCAAATATTGCACCATGGCCCAGAATGATATTTCGGTACAACTCTATACTTTTCACCTCCGCGCCCCGAATCAACCGACGCGCGAGTACAGCTTTAAGACATACGATGAGGTCATCCTCGCCCCGATGGGCTTTTATGAACCGGCCATATTTGATAATTCAGCCAAGATACGCAGTCGGCGCAAACTAATCGACCGCTCCTACAATGCGTACGACGTCGACGTGCCCGACGATCCTGTTTCTGCAGCACAGACCGCCATTCTTGCTCTCATCAAGCCTTCCGTAGTCTCCAACGCCAACGGTTTCTCGTCCTCGTCTCTCGACCCAAACCTTGCCACGCCCATGAAGGAGAAGTCTCAGCCCTTCAACTTTCTTAGGGGCGACCTTAACAACGGGACGCCAGGTGGCTCAGCCGCAGCCTCGCCGGCCCCCGAAGGAGCAGCTACTCCCGTACCACCGACCTTCCACTTCGGCGCCAACGGTTCGGTAACAGGGACCGGTAGCCCAGCACCGAACGGAACATCAACCGCGCGCAACGGGGCGTCCCCGGCTCCACCGGCAGGCATGTTTGTAGACTCGGCTGCGCGCACGGCTAAGGCACTAGCCGCGGAGCGTGATGCCGTGTTGCCCGTGGTACCGCTCGACATCGCGATCCTGACGAGCATCCAGAACGCAGCCAAGGGCGACGACAAGAAGCTGCGCGATTACATCGGCAGCATCATGGTTGTGGGCGGGGGCTCCAAGACCCCCGCCTTCACGCAGACGCTCCACGAGAAGCTCAAGGCTCGCCGTCCCGAACTCGCTGACAAGGTGCTTATCACGCACTCGGCTCGCGACATGGACGAGCAGGTCGTCGTCTGGAAGGGCGCCAGCGTCTTCGCCAAGCTCCCGGCCAACGACTCCTGGATCACGCCCTTTGAGTTCGAGAGGTTGGGCGCCAGGGTCCTGCACCATAAGGTGCTTTGGGCTTGGTAGGCAGTTAGTTGGCTAGCCCCCGAGGTACCTAGGTGAGCGGTTGCGAAGAGAAGTAAATAAGGAGGTTTAGTTGGGCCAACTGCCCTGCCCCTTAATGAGTGAGTGAGTGAGCGGAGTGTAAGCGGGAAGAGGGCAGAGGGCAGAGCGGTAAGGAGATAAACATACACATACATGCATACATGCATACATGCATACGTATCTGGGGCGAAGACGACTTTAGCTTCCATGTAATCGCTCACGTACCACGCGTGTCTTGTCGTCGAGGCGGTTGTTTTTTCTTCACAGGGAAAGTATTATTTATCTGATCGTACTCTCTAGGGTCGGTAGGATTTGTATGGCGTTGGTGGTTGGGTTGTTCCCCCCGTTTTTCTTTTAGATAGGAAAAGATTTAAGAGAAACAAAATGAAAAAGAGACGCTAACTAATTAATTTACGAATACCCCCCTTATCTACTTCGTCTCTGTTTGAAATACGAGAAGTTTAGCCTATGCTGTAGGGGGGAGGGGCGTTTAAATCAGTATGGTTCCCTATGACTTGGTCAACGGCTTGAAATACCTACCTAGGCCTAAGGCTTAAAGGTGAGGACGTATGTAAAGTCAGTCAGTTTACCTAGACCATAGGTTCGTTATTGAGACTAAACAACGTGAAGTAAGCCGAGCGATGGAAATAGAATTAGGAGGTTTTATCTACATGTCATCGAGAGTAGCAATTAACATATCGGTCAATTGTGTCAATTCGGCAACTGCCTTATTACTAAACCTAGGTACAGGAGGTATGTAATCTTCTTGTCCACAAAAGAACTTTCCTTCCTCATGAGAGCCAAAGCCAGCCAGAATTTGTCGAGAACAAATCAAGTTGCTATCATCGGTTTTATGGCAGTGATCCTACTTGCGAAGATAGATCTAGCTGCCCCTCTTGTCATTAAAAACCGTGCGAATTTCATATCACGTACGTCTCTCTCTCATCCTTAAATTTTTTTTCTTTCCCCCTTTTTTGATCAAGCAAAAACAAATATACAGAATGGTTTCTGTATTTTCCCTGGGTATCTCATTCCTTGCGCAACGAGGTAAATCCGCCCCAAACGCCGAGGGCTCCTGAAATGGCGATCCGTAAGCCTAAATCGAAAAGGAGGAGACGATAGAATCGAAAGCCGGGCCTGATATTTCATTAGGGCCGCGAAGGCTCACTTGAAAGGAGTCTTGGGTGAAAGATGTGTAGGGGTAGAAGATGAGGGGCCGGCGGAAGGGTGTATCGAGGGTGATGATGTGCGTCCATGTCTGGTAACTGCGTCAATAGCCCAGCTAGGCAGGCGAGGATTGACATGGGAAGACTGCTTCGCCTTTCGATTCTCGATAACAGTTTCCAATGCCTCCTGATCATCTAGTCGAAGAGGTTTACGTCGGCCAGAATTTTCCCCCTTGGGAGTAGACGACATTTGGTGGAATCCATATTGTAGATGCTGTCGTTAGAAATAGAGGTTAGCTGGGTATTGTCATGTGAAGGTGAGTGGTTTGTTCCTACTTCAGGGCCTGCCTCAGACTTGCGAGCTGCAGCGGCTTTGTATTCCTCCCATTCTGTCTCTGTCAATTTGTCCCAATCACGCCGCTTTGCGGCAATAGCCGATGGTTCCATATCGGCTAGCTCAATAGTAGACAGAAGGTTCAAGCAGATTGCTTCAACAAATCGTGGAGACGATGCTGCTGTCATTATCTCCCATTTTACCTGGGCATGTTGCTCACGAGGTCGTTGTCGACCCCAAACTGCTGCTGTAATGGCTTGCGCGGCAGCTCGTTTCTGTTCATCATCATGCGGTGCCTCGCTCATTGAAAAGGCTCGTGTCAACTCTCCCTTGAAAGCCGGCTGGCTTTCCCAATTGGTGAATTGACTACCCATGACATGGCCCGAAGTTTGCGGTGGTCTCCGAATATGTGTAGTAGTACCCTGAATTGGCCGCAATAGGTTGGGCTGATATAAGACAGCATTATTCTGAGGAGGGTTTACGGTCTGTAGGATATTAGAGCTCCCGATACGAGGCACACCTAAGACTTGGTCGTTCTGAGCCTTGCCGTATACCACAGCAGAGGTCTGCAGCATAGCCATGCTAGCTTCGTTAGGAAATCTACCTTGATTCATAGAATATCCTTGATTCGTAGAATAACCTTGATTCGTAGAATAGCCTTGATTCGTAGAATAACCTTGATTCATAGAATATAGAGGCGGAATAGGCTTGCCCAGCCTACGAGCCTCATTTTGGGCGATCAATCGGTCAGCTTCCGCACGGTCCTCAGCTGTCAAGACAGCATCTTCGAGCTCTTCCTCCTCAAAAGTGTCCATCATCGTGATAGCTCTGATGCCGACTTTGTGAGCTTTAATAACCTTATCTAGGACATTATCTTTGCCAATATGTATATCAATATTTTGTTGTTTTGGCTCCGTTGGCATCTCAAACGAATGTCCGAATTCCTGGGCTTTAGGGATAGGATTTTTCTGGTCAACGACTCGAGAAGCTAACTGCATCTTCCATATCGCCATATTCAGCGCCTTCTCCTCGGAAGTACCCCCACAAACCAAGCGGTAAACATAGACTGGTTTCTTCTGACCAATACGATATGCACGCCCGACGGCCTGCTGCTCGTTCTGGGGATTGAATTTGACGTCAAAAATAATGACTCGATTGGCACTCGTCATGTTGAGGCCAACGCCGCCAGCTTTGGTAGATATGAGGAACACATCAATATTTCCCTTACCGAATTCCTTGACAACGGACTGTCGTTTACTTGTCGGGGTTTTCCCGTCAATCCGTTCATAAGAAAATTTCCTGTGAAAGAGAATAGACTCTATATAGTCAAGCGTACGGATAGACTGGCTAAAGATGAGAACTGAATCGCCTATGCGCTTGCACTCGTCCAGAATGGAGAGTAATATTAGGATTTTCCAAGATAATGCGTACGAACCCAGGTCCCTTGTCTTATGCAAGAGCGTTATCTCGCTGGTAACAAGCTCACTAGGTAAAGACTCTGCCTTTATAGTCGACTTTGCAAAACCCTGTTTTCTATCCTGCAGCTTTTTCATGAAGATCGAGGGGTGGGCACAGAGGATACCTAACGTTTCTATAGAAGCCAACTGACTCGATCCTGGGTGATCTAGTTGGTATCTGATGAAAGTTTCATACGCCTCTCGCTGCACATTGGTAAGAGGTACAGTTAAGAGGAATTCTAGCTTTGGTGGCATGTCATGCTTCAGCGCTGCGATCGTTATTCGCTGCACTTTTGGCGAAACTTCTTCCTTGAGAACCCTTAACATCTTCAGAGCCATTCTGCGCTGACTCATAGTACTGTCTAGTTTGAGACCTTCCTTGATTGGATTGGCGTACAACGATCTGAATTCACTGATATCAGATAAGTAGTTTGGTGCAATCCAATTAACCATAGCATGGTATTCTTCGACCTTGTTAGCCAAGGGGGAGCCGGTTAGAGCAATTCGGCTCAGGGTTCTGAAATGTGCGCCGGCGGCGTGAGTTTGTGACTTCGGGTTCTTCATCGTGTGCGCTTCATCGGCTACAACGAGGTTGGGGCCGTCGCATAGTATTTCTCTAAAGTCTTCCTGAATCACATAGTCCTTGAAGAGATTGTAGCCAAAGATAAGGATGCCACCTCGTTGGTCCCAGGCCTCAATGTTCGCATCGCGTTCGGAAACATCCGCTAACTGGTCAACTTTGAAAAACTCGCCAAGTCTATGTCCTTGGGGAGCCCAAGAAAGTAATTCGTCCATCCAGTTATTGACGAGCGAGGGAGGACAAAGGACAAGGGTTTTTGACTCCTTGAGGCCTTTAGGTATCTGACAGGAGATCGTCTTGTCTTCGGACCCTGCAGCTTCGGCGATAGCCACTAGGAGTGTAATGATTTGCATCGTCTTTCCGAGACCCATGGTATGTGCGAGCAGACAACCTTGCTTCGCTCTGGAGTCTACAATTTGATTCCACATGAATCTGACTCCCGCTACTTGATGTTCCTTGATGCGCCTTGCGATCTCGGGATGGACGTAAATGAATCCTTGATCATCTTCTTTGCTCTCGTTGATTATCATATCCTTTTGATCAAGAACTGCTACGCCTTGCGCCTCAAGCTCCACCAATTTCGCACGTAGTACTTCTTGTCGATGTTTCTGCTCTGCCGCTCGTGCCCGATCATGCTCTCTGAGGCTTTCTGCTTCTTGATTGCGAACCAACTTCTTACGTCTCTTCCGCTTTGAGGGTGATTTTCGATCGGCTGTTCCCGTATCAATCACCTTCCACTCGAAACGATCAGATAAGCGGCGGAGGAAGTCGGCATAACTGCAGAGTGTCTCTGTTTGTTCCCCTGCGTCTTCTACCTTTTTCATTATGTCGTCATAGCTTAGCTTCTTATACTGACCTATCGAGTAGAAGGCATCGTCTCTATATATTTCAAACAAACGAAGCATCGTGAAGGCGGCACAAGCTTTTCTCTTCTCGGGAGTATCGTAGGGAGACTTCGGGATTCTTCGCTCTTCTAACTCATTAGATAGAAAATCTATCCAACCTTCGTCTGATCGCTCCTTCATGGTTACCGAAAATATATATGATAGATATCCTTCGTCTTGCTTAGCCAGTTCTTGAGCTATCGCTTGTTCAGATGGGTCCAGGTCATTAACGCTCATTATAAGAGGCGATTGCTCATTATGCAATTGACTTAGCTTTCGCGGCGTGCTGCTCAGCTTTATCTTGGGTGAGCCATTGGGAACTGATTTGGGCTTGACGGGGGTAGTAAGATCTATCACATGATACTTCTGAGATTTGGCTGGTGTCTGAGGAGACTGTGCAAGATCGATGGTTTCTGTTCGTTCTAAGTCCATAGATACCTCGTTGTGGTCACTTTCACAGCGACGTTCTTGTTGCACGGGAGGAGTACTGTCTTCAACGATTGCCATGGGTGAAGCACTACGAGATGTACCAGGGGACGAGGGGGCGTCGACAATGAACTTTTCAAGCTCACTCTCGGATTCGCTTGTCAGTATCTCCTCCTCCTCCGAATCGGCAGAAACTAGCTTTGGCTGCCGACGGGTTTTAACGGAAGTCCGACGCGGGGCCGCGAGTCTTGCAGGTTCGGTTGAGGCAGTGATCACACCGAGAACCCACGAAGCATATTCCCTATCTTCTACACTCTGTTGCAAGATCAAGGTGTTCATCTTCAACTCGGCTGTTTTATGCCAATGCTGGAGAGTCATCTCTCTACAATACTTCGCAATGCGGGATTCGCATGCCTTAAGATTCTTGCGATTCTTGTCGATCGACATCTTTAGGCCGGCCCTTCGAGCACCTAACCAAATTTGGTTGGCTTTGTATAAGAGCTTGGAGGCCTTGCGCTCTTTCCAATCGGATACAAATTTCTGAATAGACTCATCGATCACGGCTTGGACTTCGTCGCTAGATAAGCCACGTCGGTCTTTTTTCTTGAGCTGTTCGGTTTTTATTTCAGCCCAAGTTTCAGAATCGTACTCATCATCTGAATCTCCGTACACAGGTAATATTTTATCGTGATCCGGATTGTTAGCCCCAGGTACTATATCCAGCTTGGCAGCGTAAGGAACCCGAGGCTTTTTATTCGGCAGCATCCGACGCTTGAGAATCTGGTAGATCTGTAGCCGGCGGCCATACGGCAGTCCATCGTCTCGAACTCGAACAAATGCGAGTGGTTGTTCTTGTTGCAAGGTGTCGTTCGAGAAAGGTCCGGCGTCGTTGAAATGGTCAACGATATCCACCCTTGTGACTGCATCTTTTCCGAGGTAAGCCCAGGTCAAATCGATTGCATCGTTTTGATGATTAATTAGGTTCCTCGATCTAGATGCCATAATCACGTCCGCTTCGGAGGGAATAGTGCGTGACACGTTAACATCGATCTCAGTTGAAATGAGTATAGGGGCTACTTTTCGTTTCTTTGTAGTGGGGGTCTCCTGAGCGGAGTAGGGAGTGTCATGAACAGCGTTAGATCGATATGGAGTAGGAGTAGACGCGACTCCAGGATGAGGACCTTGAAGCACATCCTGTGGCCCCACCAAGGTAAGATCGGTGCTTCTTTTCAGTGAAGGTGGAAGAAGATTGCGAGAAGTAGACTTGATTGGTAACACCTCCCTGTTGCCATTGCTTCCTGTTTGACCTTCGTCATTTCCAGCTTCGAAATCCGAGTAGCTGCGTTTCCGATACAGTCTATACTGTTTGCTACGAGCTTGGAATGAGCTGATGATATGCTTGAGTATAGATTTGTGCTTGATAATCTTGATGCGTAGTTCTTGGCAGAGTTCGGCACGATCATATGTGAGAAGCGTATGGCCGTCAACTCCATGCTCTCGCAATAAAGGTTCAAGTTGCTCCGGAGGCGGGAATTGCAGGGGGTAAGAAGTTGGAGGTTCCCAAGATCGATTGGCTGAGCAGAGCTCTTGAACCACCTTATCGACGTCCCAGTCCCATGGATCGTCCATGTTGGTCAGACGATACCATCGAGTGGGGTCAATAAGGGGTGTGAAGGGACTCTAGAAGTTGAAAGAATATTAGTATGACATGTATTAATCATTAAATAATGATGTAAAAAGGTACGTAAGGGAATAGTGTAGTGGAGTGTTAAAAATTACCTAAGGTATTGTTGGGGATGTGAATTCAAACCTCGATGAAATATCAGAAGTACAAAATAAGGAAACCACAGAAATAACAACAATCGAGAAGGAGCTTCCAAGGTTAGTTAGACTGAAAGAGCACAGGATGTAGCATCCTTTTCTCATCGTCGAACATACCTACCTCTTAGGCAGTAAACAGCGAGTAAACGAAGGATAATGGCAGAAGTTACCAATATGATTTAGTAAGGGAAATCATCGACTTACAGTAGTTGGATGTTCAATGTGGACAATAGAATAGTGACCATGAACTCGTATGTGTTTTGGGGATGTGAAGAAGGAAACACGATATGTCACAAGTGTTGGGAGGGAGGCTAAGGAACCCCGGGGTCAGTAAGGATAAAATAAGAAAGAGCAGTTGGCAACAACGAGAAACCAACCAGCAGCGTGAAGGGAAGAGAAAAAGCGGGATGTAGATCACGCCGAGTATGGAATTGCGGCATACAACGGCGTGACGATGTGAAGGAATTTGTGAAGATGGAAAAATGAAAGTCTTGCAGTACGCTCCGAGATGCCTACTTATAAATATGCCAGCTCGCCGAGAAGTAGACTCTACTTGCTCAGTGAACAAACCATAAGTACATGTTGGTAGACGAAGACGTTTTGGTGCATAGTATGTAGGATAGGTATATGACTTATAAGAGATCTGTGTTACGGGATGTGGAGTTTCAATCCCATCTAAGGATGAGAGGACCGATGAGAGGACCGACTTAGATAGTCGAATAATTAACAATTAGCAGCATTTGGGTACCTCGTAGCGTACCTCATAGCTTAGGAAGGCTCAAGTTACTAGGACCTAGGTAATGACTCGACAGGGTATGAGTAGCAAGTGGCAAGTAATAGGTAAAATTATTGCCATCGCTCTTGCTTTTTTTTAGTCCCCTGTCTCTTAAACGGAAGAGTACAGAAGTTTCACTTAGTTATTGTTAATTAATTCTGTAAATACCCAATCAGTCAGTTGTGTCTTAGAAAACAATGGTTATAATGAGCAAGGCAAAACGGAGGGAATTATACTATACGGAATGGCTACATACCTAGTGGCTATCATATACTCCCGACAGCAGCAGCAAACGTCGTTGTTAAAGGAGGATATCTATGTACATAGCATAGATTCGACGCGTATGAAGTGTCCCGCACTTTGAGATGGCTGGATGGATACTTCGCGACGCGGAGTAAAGGCCCCTTGAAAGACCGCTATCACGTGATACTAATATAGTCCTTACTACACTATACGCCTAGGTGCATAACATAAATTCTTTAAGGAGAGAATTGCTCTTATTGATCATGGGCGTTATCTTTGAATTTTCCCGGTGAATACCTGATAACGAATGAAGATTAAGTAAATTTACTTCAAGCAGTATATGTATGTAAGATTATCCAATATATTCGATCCATGAGGCTTATGGCTAAGTGCTTACATGTCCCGTTTTACATGGACATGTATGTAACAGCCCAAATTTGCCAAATTTTAACCAGTAGAAAATACCGTTAAGAAGCCTTTAAATGTCAAGATATTAAATTTTAGAAGCTACCTGATACCCTAGTCACAGCTCTTATTTCTAAGCAGTGATTACATATATCTCGTTTCTCGAGTCCAGCTAACTACGCCTAATCCTAACATGACAATTGGTTGTAAAAGGGTTTAAGACAGCTAGGCCACAGTGGGTTTGGTTTGTCTTAAGTATTTATAGGTAGAGGCGCTAATAATCGGGTGCAGCAAGACGCAAACTTCATCCCGCCGAGTTCGAGACAAGCCAGGTAACACTACAGCTTTGTACATCTTTGGCTTATAAGCCTTTCTACTGGGGTCTACACTATTTCCTTGCAACATCAGTTTGATATCATCAATTATTACAATTTAGGCATGTCCAACTATCCGCCTGAGATCACGCCCAGTGAAGGCGAAAGGTTGACTGAAGTTGTCAAGGATTGGGCACTGGCTCATGGCTTGGCTGTCCGACCACCTCCAGGTGTTATCGCTGCCGAAGCTGACCCTGCCGGGATACTTGCGACTGCAGTTCCCGTTACTCTCTTCCCGAGCCCCTTTCCCCAGGTGTGCTTCGACCAAGGAATTACGGTTCAGAAGGCTTATAATGAGCTATATGCATCTATCAGCCAAGATGAGGAGTTTCTAGCTCAGATTGTGAAAGAGTAAGTATAATGTACTTATGGAAATACACTCAGCTTTAAGGCCATAAATTAATAAAGCATAGAATTGGAGACGGCGATGATTTTATAACTGAACTATGGAAGGTTCACCTAAGAGTCAAGGAAGAGGGCTATGTTCAGGTAGGCTAATTAAACGAGTCTTTGTTGTCTTAGCATGTAGAGAAAGCTCACTCTAGGATGCAGCACAAAAGTCTTGGCCTCTTTAGATCCGACTATATGGTTCACCAGGATCGTAGTGCATCTACTCTGCAGATCAAGCAGGTCGAGTTTAACACAATTGCGTCTTCGTTCGGAGGTCTCTCATCGCAAACCTCATCACTCCATAGGTTAGGATCCATCTTCATCTCAAATCATGCAATACTAAGAAGTGCCTAGGCATCTTTCTTCAGCAGAGTATCCATGGTTGGAAAACTCAATAACGAGAGGAACACTTCAATTGCCTGAGAATGGTAGCGCTGCAGGATTAGCTAGCGGTATACGACAGGCCTTTATCGAATATGGGCCTCCGTCTACTAGCCACCAGAAGTGTGTCATCTTCCTCGTTCAAGGAGGCGAGAGGAATATCTTTGACCAACGCCACCTCGAATATGAACTCCAAAAATCCGAAGAGCCGCTGATCCCCGTATTCCGACTACCATTCTCGGAAATTTTACAGCACACAACCCTCGCCGAAGGTACAGGCCGTCAGCTACTATATCGACCGCCGCAGCTACCTTCTCATACGTTTGAAGTTGCTGTCATATATATGCGCTCAGGGTATGGGCCGTCAGACTATCCTGACCAATCCGCCTGGGAGGCTCGCTACCATTTAGAAAGATCGGCTGCCATCAAATGCCCGACGGTATTAACCCAGGTTTCCGGCACTAAGAAGGTTCAACAGGTTTTAGCAACGCCCGAAACGCCATCAAACCCGTCCATCCTACCCCGCTACATATCCAAGGACTCGGCGTCTATATCGAACCTAGCCAATACATTTACCAATATCTATCCCCTAGATAAAACAGAAGCCGGGCTCCAAGCTCGAAAGATCGCTCTCGACCCCGAGCTTTGCAAAGGTTACGTCCTCAAGCCCCAAAGGGAAGGGGGCGGCAACAACACCTACCGTTCCGCGATCCCAGCATTCCTAAAATCTGTTCCGGAGTCGCATTGGCCGTCGTATATTCTAATGGAACTGATCACGCCGCCGCCTGTCAAGAACACGATATTACGCAATGGCAAGCTAGAGCACGGCGGCGTTATCTGCGAACTCGGCATATATGGAACCTGCATCTGGGACCAGCAGTCCAAGGCCATACTCCACAACGAGAGGGCAGGCTATCTTCTGCGCACGAAGGGAGATCAAAGCGAAGAAGGTGGTGTCGCTGCTGGGTTTGGCTGCATGGATAGCTGTAGCTTGGTTTGACGTAGATGTTGAATTGGGAGGGGGTTATTGTCCCGTTTCATAGCATTTGTTCATATTACCTAGAGGTAGCTATAAGACATGAAAAGCAGCCAAAAACAGTTGTCCATTAGACTTAATATGCGTATTGTATATTGTCGTCCCAGACAATGTACGGTGAAGGGACATCGTTAACACATTTGGCATCAAGTCCTGACGTAACAGTAGAACAGTATCATACAGTAACATCCCCAAGCGTAGTCCCGTCATTAGGTAACCGTAGACATAAGAAAATTCTCGTAGTGGAGAGCTTTAATCCAAGATGATACACATCTTGGTCCGATAGGCGTCGTTCTGGCTGTCCCAAGTTTTATACACACTGACTACCTAGTTACCTATTCTTCAGTCGGAGTTGGTCGCTTAAGAACCTCGAGATGCCCTGTCCAAGTTTATTAGCATTAACGGCTAAACAGCGTATAGGCTAGTTGATCGTACTTTGGGTAATACTCAACGCCTGTCGGGTCTTGCCCTCGCCATCGGTGTACTGATTCATGGTGGCGTTGCCCTCAACGTAGACGGTAGATCTATGCGTCTTATGTCAGCTCTGGTCTCCACTCCACATTAATCGGAAAAAAAAAAGAGAAAAAAAAAGAAAAAAGAAAAGAAATTTATGTGGCACAGAAAGATATATTTCCATGCGAAGCTGACAACACAACTAATCTATCTGTCCATCCCAAAACCTTTCCTATAAAGCTGAAGGAAAAAAAAAACATCAAGTCTGAAGCCGGAACATACCCTTTAGGTAAGTTAGTCAAGAAGTCTCGGCGGGGTCCCTCCTCGACAAAAGCAGCGACTCTGAACCAACTCGTCTGGCGGTTCTCCTTAGACCCATGGTTGCTAGCGACGGAATACTCGATAAGTTCGTTGCCGGTGCTAGTGGCTCTGACCTCGGGGGGGCCAGCTAGGTTACCAACCAGCGTGATTTTGGCAATATCACGGCGGGCAGACGCACTGAAAGCGCGGGCGAGGCCCGGGGCGGCGGCTGTGGCTCGACGGGCGAGGAAAGACATCTTTTTTTTTCGGATTTTATGTGGATATACGTTGACGAGAAGCGCGGATGCGGTGGTAGCCGGGTTGTTGAGCTGCGGACGGCGACGTTGAGAAGAATTGCGCGTTGGTCAAATATCGTTTATCGCTAAGTTCGCGATTGCATTTGACGCGACGCAAATTAGGTAGCCCTAATCGCTAATTCTAATTGGTCAGATATCGTGGGGGGTAGTACAAGATAGCTCGGTTGTTAAATATATTGGATTATTGTATTGAATGATTATCAAGTAGCTTATAATTGCATTTCTGAACCGCCATCCATTACACCCATACATAGGTACATAGGTACATCCATCCTGATGGTATCACTTAACTTTTACAGATCTCAACTTATACTCGATGTTCTTGGATTAATTATTAAGAGAAAGTCTGTCAACAATAATACTTGGGAATTAATTCTTACTAAGATCAGTAAAGATATTTGAATAATTAGGTAGTTTATTATGCAGAAAGAATTTCCAATACAAGCTACGTACATTGACAGGAAATAGATCACAGCCACATATATAGGACAACAGCTGAGATTCCTAAGAAAATAAGGCCTAACCTTAGTTTTTATATCTACATATTTAAACACTGAACGTACAAAAATTATATCAGCCTAGGTTAACCAAGATCATCTTATCACAAAGTGATCCTAAAAGATGTGAAAACGACACTGGTTCCGGAAGGAAATCTAACCTAGGCTATATAAACCCCTGTCTTTATGTACGTCTAAGTATCCTTTATTCTAGACATTGCATATATAATCCTAATACACCTACTAAGGCAACTTACAGCCGTTTAGATTCCTATTCATAGGTATAGACAACATATTTAGCAGCTCTAGACAAAGTCATCACAAATCTAACCCCAGTAAATAGACCAAATCAACTAAATGTTTATATAAGATGATCTTATCAGCAAACGTACTGTAACTCGAACTTACAACCTTAATGAGCATACTTTAGCACACACATAGATCTCAGGCACATAAATATAACTGATCGTACATAGGTAATACATGATAGTTTATTTCTTTACACACTCAGTACTTAAACGTCCATCTTGGTTTACTTAAAAGCTCATAAAGGAGGTCCAGTAGCACAACAACAAACAGTAAAGACGAATCCATAACTTATTTATACGATTTCGATTAACTACCGTTGCTTATAACGTGGAGTACACAGAGAAAGACGAACAACATGCCTATTGTACCGTGTATGTCCTTACTGGTCTAAAATAATACAAGTCTTGGCACAATATGTTTTATTCATGTCGATGATCCCAGGGGAGAGATTTGGCACACATGAGTGAGGCCTTACAAGTTATTTAATATTTTGCAATGTCTAATTTTGTGATATCAAATACAGCAGATATGGTTAAACCGTTGATTCCCAGCTCAAGCCTCATACTAGATCTCTAGAATCTCTGGACCACCATAACTCCAGAGACGAACCCCCCCAGCTATATCAATGGTCCCAGCCCACAGATTGATAATGTTCCAAGTCTCAATAGAGATGCGTTTCACGTCATGCTCATATCCTCATGCTTCGTAGTATTCCCACATACATTCACGTTACCGTTCTGTGATCTAGTAGCGTGTTAGTTCTCCTGCTAGACGATCCTATGTTGTCTAAAGCATCACTGAAAGCTGAATCGTTCGTCTACGAGCTGCCATTATAGAAACGAGCTATGTTAAAGGAGTACCTCTAAGCCATGTAGCGTACCACAAGCGTACCTGAGTACCTAGTTGTAGGATAATGAGTGTATTCCATAGCTGGATTAACAAGGCGGGTCACTGCTTAGTCGTCAGGCACACCAGGTCCCATCATCTATTGTCCCTAACAACCACTCCTAGGCATCGATTCCTGCTTATTATGTTCAGTACACACACAGGACAGCTTAATCCACGATGCTCCACGCCTAGGGCACCAGTGGTTGGCCAGCCATATGTTCCTGTCTCCACGCCCCTTTCCCTATCACTCCCTAATAGCATTCACTACCTACCTGCCTCAAGGGCTCTCGCCTTGTGTTATTGTTCGTGAGACCAAGCTCCCCTCCTTCCCTTGCAAGCTCTACTAGCACAAGGCAGCGCAGTTGGGAGCAGAAGTACCCGCTCTTCTAAGCGGTCCAAGTGCCTGCTTTTGCAGCTGTTACCAGGGCGAATAGCTTCTAGAGCAGAATTTCTCGAGCAAGAGGCAAACTTGCTCACACGAATTTTCCCTCTCTTAAAGTTAAACTCCTTCATCCTTCAACTTGGAGTGTCAACCAACCTTTCTATCCACATTCTTGCGCAGGATCTCGTTCGAAGGCCTCCAAACTCGAGGTAAGCTTCCCATCATCAAAGCATTGATGATATGTGACATGTACAACATTGCAACATCAGATGAAGAAAGACTTACGAATTTTATCTAGCAACATCACCTAGGTCTTCTAACTTCTCTTCAACTTATTTTGGTATCCCACGGCGGGTAGCAACAAGCTACCTCTACGGCGCCATGTCCATCATGGTCAAAGTAGTTGTTGCGATCGCCTTTATGGCTTTCGCAACCGCAGCTGCTTCTGATCAGGATGGCTCGGCGGACGTAGATTGGAAACATACGCCTAACATTGGTATCCAGATTAACCTTGTGCTCCGCGTGGTATTCGCCATTATCGGCACCGGGCTATGTTGGCCGCCGCTTCGGACTTTATGGCGCTACAATGACCTCCCCGGAGTATCGCTTATTATAGTCGTGGCGATAATGAACTTTTTCGCCGTCCTGAATGCAATGATTTGGAGCCAGGATAACTGGGACGACTGGTATGATGGACAGGGATTGTGTGATGTTCAAGCATATTTGTCGACGCCGATGAAGACCATCTACGCAGCCACTATCTTCGTCACCGTCTACGAGCTGGCGCAGAAATTTGACGTCAGGAGAGCGATACTACTAAACTCCCGAGAAGACAAATTCCGAGAATTGAAACAAGCTCTTATCATCTTCCTGGTTCCCTTCATCCAGTTGGTCATGACGTACTTCACCATTTCACAGCGGTACAAGATCGGCACACTGATCGGGTGTATCGCTGAGTACGACAACAACTGGCTAAAGATTATAGTTTTCGATGTGCCGATCCCTATCTTCGTGGTCTTGTCTGTACCCTTCACTTGTGAGTATATATAAGATGATCATCAAGAGTTGCTTACCCCTTAAGTACCAAGGAAGAGAACGACTAACATGGACTATAGTTTGTGCATATCTACGCTATAGAAGATACTCAAGAGAAAGCCAACTAGCAATCGAGTCTAGCAACCAGGGGGTAGCCCGGCATATCCGGCTACGCATTCGCCTATACCATGTTACAGCGTCAATCATGCTTGTCTATGCCCCGGTATCATTCATCTTACTATCCAAGAACATCCAAATGGCTGTTCAAGAACCACCCTCGGCGTATGACTTCCATCGTATACACGACGACGCAGACCCGTACCCATGGGACTCTGTTACATTTGTGCCATCGTGGAACATGGAGTGGCTCGAAATGAACCAACCGTGGTTCGCAATCATGACGACGGTGACCATCATCGGTTTCTTCGGCACAAGCGAGGATTGCTCCCCCGTATACCGTGGGTATATGGAATGGCTGGGTTTAGGACGGTGCCTCCCGCGTCCCAAACCGCAGGAGGCTCCTCCTAGTCAACCTCACTTTCTTGATGACCCTGACGAGTTGCTTCGTAACGGGATCGAGCTTGTGGAAATGGGCGGCGGAAATAGGGAGGTGGCAGAGTAAGTAGTGAACGCCGAGCTCTAGAATAAGAAACTAACTAACTTGTAATCCTATAGACGCAGAATGCCTACCGATCCCCCTCAAGTCTCGAGCTCAAGTTCCGATATCAACGAAATTCTGTCTCCACGCCGGCCAGTAACACCGCAGCAGCCGCTCCCGCCGCCCTCGGTGGCTGCTTCATCACCACCGCCGTCCCCGTCACAGTTTCCTATGCCCCCCTTGCAACGACGACTGCCAATGCCTATGGACCGATTGGATAGCATAAGAAGACACATAAATATGCCAGGAAGTCCCCTCGAACGTGTTATCATCCAGTCCTTCATCCCGGAACGACGCTCATCACTACAGGGACAGCAATTACCCTCGCTTTTCCGTGCGCCAGTAAGCAGACACCCGCGCGTACCTCATAGCTATCTCACGAGTTTCCATCGAGACGACTCCTCCGTCGCCGGCCCGTCTCGCTCCCACGCTCGCACGCACTCCGAGCGTTCCGACTCGCAGCCAATCTTGGCGGCAACCGCCGAGCACGTCACGGAGTCTCCACGTACAGCAACACCGGCGCGCCGCCAAGTACCGCAGGAGGCCGTGCAGCCACGGGAGCTCCTCGACGACCAGTCAAGCTGGAGCGGAACCCGACGTCTCACAGCCGACAACGTAGTCTGGCCCCTGTTCTCGCGCACCGCGTCGACCTCCTCGCTAGCCCGACCCCGAGAAACCGCCAACGCCATCGCGGCGGCCAACGAGAGCCCAGTCCGTTCGACCGATAGCGACTTCGTGCGAGTGCGGATCACCGGAACTTTCTCGCCCTCGTTGCCCTCGCCTCCTCCCCCGGCAGAGCAGCGAGGAAGAGGCCGGAGAATCCCGCGAGAGCTGTTGAACCGGGTTGGCCGAAATATCCCCAGAAACGGAAACGGTAACTAAGTATGCTATGCACTGGCCAAGGAGAAGAGAACAAGGAGACGGTCAAAGTTGATGAGCCGGATTGAACGACATACTTCTAGAAACGACAACCAGTCGTCTACTAATGAGAAGAAGAAGACCAGAGCTGATGAGTCGGATCAAAAGCAACACTGCTGGAAACGATAGCTAATCATGTACGAATCATGTACGAAGGAAGAAGAAAAAAATCTACGAAAAAAAGAGAAAAAAAAGGAAAGAGATGGATAGGTCGAGTCATAGGATCGTGAAAAGGGGATAAGGATTAATACTTTGCGTTGACGGGAGTGTAATTAGATACGAATTCGAGATCGAGAAAGGAGCCATATTGATCCTTCAACATGTAGCAGTCTATGGTCAAGGGACACACCTCTCCTTCCAACGAGACGTGAAGCCCGTCAAACTCCGACCGGAAGAAGGCCGTACGTATTGTATACCTTGCTTCTTGCATCAGACTCTAGTCCTCTGTTAATTTAATCATGCTTGCTAGAGAAATGCGCGCTCTACTAATAATAACTACTCGAGTCAGAGCTAGCAAATTCCTGAATTTGATTTTATAGAAAAAAAAGCCGTTGCCACAAATACACGTATAAGTGAAATATTGGGGTATGCTTATTATTATTGACAGTTGCTAACGTCTCTATCTCAATACACATCATCCGCCCCAGAGCCTTCGCAGGCAGGATGTCCTAATTCTGGTCTTCGTAAGAGTAAATGTATAAGTGATGCTTGATCTGTCATTTTCGAGTCCTCTGGGGACTATTCTGTCTTGATGGCTCATTAACTTTACTAACGGCGTGAAAAATCAATGTTGGTACACCTGAAACGCCGTGCCATGCTGTGATATTAAGCTAGCGAATCCGATGAAGGTCGATAATCAAAGAAAAGAAAAGAAGAGAGACTCGGCTCTAGTAATAGATACAAAATTAGAATAAATAGAGAAATTGTAGGAGGTATGCTTGGGTATCTTCGTAATTCGTACAGGCCGCGATGGGTCGAGTCCGATTAAATAAGGTATGAAGTGAAACCGATTTTGTACAGTAAGTTCAATGAAGAATGAAAGGTTGATGTTATGCCTCGATGGGTGGTACATGTAATACGGCTGGTTGAGGTTCGGCTGGTAAGTTTGGGCCGGACCTTGATCCCGACGCCTCGGTTGAAGCAGGTGCTATCTCTGGATCAGGAATTTGAAAGTCGAGCTAAAAAGGTTGGTTAGAATATTTTAAAACGATATCAGAGAAGAACTTGAACTTACATTCATATATCCCGTACGTCTTAAGGAGATGATTTTGGGAGCAATTGTGCTCTCGTCTGAGCCTACTGCCTTCTCCATCTCCATGTTCCATTTGTCGATCCAATCCTCCAACTGACGCAATCTCATCTTGGTATGTGTAAGGCCCAAATCGTCCCATATCCAGCCCGTAAGCAAGCCTAATACGCCATCGAGTATGTTTCTCCAATTATAGGGGCTGAAGATAGGTACGAGCTCTCCGTTAAGCTTTTCGATGACTCGGCGGAACTCCTGCTCTGATACACCCGCTGGATCTAGAATCTCCGGATAGAGATTCGAGAAGGTAGGCGCCAAGTCCCCTTCTACTAGCCAATCTCTTCGGATGCGTATAATCCGCGTGCTCGCATATTCCGGAGAATTGATGGGTACGTGAGGATTTAAATGCGGATAACACGGATGCTGAGGTCCCCATTCTTCGCCTAGATCTGGTTGATCGGGGTCACCAAGAATAGAGGAATTGCTGGAGGATACGCCCGAGATCATGCCGGGTGGGAGTGACACATTTGATCCATTATGTCGGTGATCTAGGACTGAGGGTCCTCTCTCTAGGTCTTTAGAGAATGACCTCTTGGAATCCTCAATTCCCATCGGGGGCATGGCGGCCTTCCCCTTCCCCTTGTCGAGTTTTTGATTGGAGCTTTCGGACGTATCGGGTCGGACAAGCCCAAAGCTTATGGCTCGCGCCCGTTTGGTAACACTTTGACCGCGCTTCCTCAAGCCAGTGAATTTGGCCCTTTCGGCCTTGGGTTTGAGTTCCGACGGTCCAGCTTCAGTCTCCTGTGGAGGATTGGAAATGCGCTTGCCGTCGTAGGAATGCCGGAGCGAACGAGGAAGGCTTATCCTTTTATCAAAGCTAGTTCTACCCTCGAGATGTGTACTGGTCCGTGCTGATTTATCTGGAAGTGGAAGAAGAGGATAGTCGCCTGCTCCAAAACCAATAGGCTCAGATGGGTCTGATGAAACTTCAATAGCAGGATGGTTGACGGGCACGGAAGGGGGAGGCGGGGTGGATGGACGGCGTTTGCGAGACTGCCGAGGGGGTCGCGGCGTTCGAGATGGAGGAACTCTTGGAGTCGAATTAGTGGGATTCCAAAGACGACCAGGGCCAAATCGACGCGGTAGACTATAGAAGGAGGCAGAAGCAGAAGCGGCTACACGATTATGGAAAGGCGATTGATGAATGCGATCGAACGGACCGGGGGGTCCTGTGGCCAGTAAGTTCCTTCGGGGATTAGTTGGTGGTTGTCGCTGTTGGGTGGTGACTACGGCAGGATCTGGGGCCGTAACCGTAACGGTGGGATGTTCAGGCTGCTGAGATGGCGAATTGACAGGGGCATTTGCCTGCTGTACATCTAGGGCGGCCTGTAACGGGATCGCAGAACGAGTGTCTGCGTGCGAAGCCGTTTGAGATGAGAAGGAGAAATGGCCGCCTTGACGGCCGGAGTAGAAATTGGAGAAGCTCGAGGTCGTCGACCAAAAACTAATAAACCAAATAAACTTTCCTCCCCTTTTCCCTCCGCTTTAACCCTAACTTTATCGTACTGGGCCTTGGACGGAGAATTGGACTTTTGCGATGAGGGTTGGCGTTGTGGTCGGGTATTACAAAGATAGACGCAAGTGCAGGTGCAGATGCAGACGCGACCGAGTGGAATTGAAGCGAGTGAGGCGAGTGAGGATTCTGCAGGTGACGGGGAGACAAGCAAAACCGCCGTTGCGAGTGGCTGGTCCGGGCGCGGGTGTGGATGCTTGCGGTAGTAATTCGGGGCTTCCAGCGCTAATATGGAACACCACAGTGGCATGCTGGCCCTTAGGTCCAGACCAAGGAAAGACCGCCAACTGTTTGACGGCCTTTTGGCAAGTGACGTGACACGGAGTGTCGGAATATCGGAATATCGGAATGTCGTATTATTGCATGGAATTGTTAAGAGGTACGTAGGTACTTCACCTTTAGTTACTTGCTTTTCATTCCTTCTCTTTCTCTTTCTTGCATTCAACAATCATCAACTGATCAGAATGAGTGTTGTTGTTAACAACAAATTGCATCGTCTGTTCCCGTCCCTTGATTTTATATCGATATATACTGCTCTTTTTTTATTCCTTTGGGGGCCGCTATCGTGGTTACGTACTCTTTTCTTTTAATAGTTATCTTAAAAAGGGCGTCATCTTTCCTGGCTGTTGTTAAATTTGGCTATTGTCACACTCGAATTGCTGCTTGATTTGCCTTAGGAATGGATGTCGGCAGAAATCTGCCTCGGGTGTGTGTTTAAGTGTCTGATATATATTGTTGATGGGAAAAAGGAACATCGACGAAAGGAACCCTCAGGTAAATTATCAATTAGCAAAGGGAGGGATTAAGCAAACTTTGGAAAACATATATGTGAGAGAAACAGACAGTGCTTCTTTTCGTCATCCGCCTTTCCAATAGTGACCCTCCTTAGTCCTGGATATCAACCAGCCCAGTAAGTCAGCTATTAAGAAAAGAACAAGGCTTTAAATTGCTTTATTTGGCGGAGCTTTTTTTCTTCTTTCGAACCTATCATCGCCTATCAAAGCGCAGCTCAGCTTGTTAAATGGCCAGGCTTGCAAGCTATTCAGGGGCATCCTCGTCACTCATCGTTCCACTCAGTTTCTGGCGCAGTACCACGGATTGCGCTGAGCCTGGTCTGGCCCATGGGGGGCTGCTTGCGACCCGACCGAGTGGAATAAATGGGCCAAAATTTTATCTTCTACATACCTACACTACACTACATACTACCTAGCTTTATATTTTGAAGACATTGGATTCCGGTTCTCACATCAGCAGCTCTAAATACATTCCTATGAGCCATCAAAATATAACGTTAGAAAAGCCGTGGTATAAGTATAGTATGACATAGCCGCGTAATAGCCGCCTGAAAGACTCTTAAGGCAGACAAGGACTTATCGGTGTAATTCGTATTGCTTTTTCCTGCAAGGTACGCCGGGACAGCGGGATTGCCGCGTCGCGGTTACATATACTGTATTGGACGTGTGGTCATTGCTCAACTGCAGCCCTGGGAATATGTTTAAAAAAAAGGTCAAGAGCATAAAGGTAGGTATTCCGTAATTATATAATCATCACTAATCCTAGTAGAGCACCATTACGGCATGATGGATAGACCCTTGGCACCTTGTCGAAATAGCATTAACACGAGGATGTAAGAATGTAAATGCATCTTGATCCAAGTGCTTGAACATTGTTGATATCTGTTACATACATAATAGTATATCCGAGAGGAGTTTTCTAGAAAAAGCTAATTTCATTCTAGCCCCTACGTATGTAATCCCTTAAATCCGTTCTGACGGGTCCATCTGTTATGATGATTTTAAACTTATTCTAGATCCCTGGTCCAGCTTTCAAAACTTTAAGATCGAGACTTTTTATTAGATAACCTAACTTGACCCTGCAGGAATCTTTGTGGTTAAGAAAGGGATACGTGGTGACGTAGCAATTTGTCATGGCAGACAAGCGAAGAGCTGAACCCAGGGAAAGCTCTACCTAGGTACTAGACCTGCGCCCGTGCACGCGCTTTTCCCCCAAAGCGAAAGAGGTGACCTCATCTTGCTATGTAGGGACTGTATGTAGGGCGCCTCCCCATCAAATTAATCCCTGCCATCGCATACCCCATGGGCACAGACATGCTACTCTCCATCTACATCGTGGATCCTTACATTATCGAGGTATTCGACGCATAGCCCTACGGGCTGGAGATATCAATTTATCTCATCCTACCTACCTAGACCAAGGTAGCCCTCAAAGGTATAAATTGGGGTTTACGATCCCATGTAACCTCACAGCGCTTGAAACCCGTCATGGCTGATGAGAATTACACTTCTCCCTCGACGTCAGCAGCGAACACGAACGGCCGAGCATCATCGCTCGCCGGCAATGAGCCCCCAAGTTTCAGCTTGCGTCGAGCTGCAACAGTCGGTCAATCTGCTCAATCTGCTCCTCCTACACGTCGTCGCCCCAATCCGAATACGGGCTCGCCCACTGCCGAGAATGGCTTTGCAGATATTCGAAGGCGGAGCTCCACATACTCCGATTTCAGTCTAAATGATGCTAGAAGGGATCTAGAGACAAGTGCGGATGGGCTCTTTAATCCGAGCAAATATGGATCCAAAGAGGTGGATAAATCCCCATTCGTCTACGTCCCACTTACACTAGCTCTGCTCCCTGCTATAGCTGGCATATTCTTCGAAAATGGGAGCGCTTTCTTCACCGACCTCATATTACTTAGCCTGGCTGCTATATTTCTTCACTGGTCCGTCACGCAACCGTGGGATTGGTATCGCTCTGCGCAACAGATACGCGTCGTGAGAGATGAGATTATGACTGAGTCTGTCTTCGAATCTGACAGCGACGTCGAGCCTCCTACGACAAACCTGGAAGATGTCCCTGAAGAGACAAATAAACAGGATGGTTCTGGGGAAGTGGCCGAAGAGGCATACGATAGACAGGATCGTCGGCGAAAAGAGCGACAGGATGCCGCGCTTAGGGAACTCTACTTTCACGAAAGGGCTGCTCTAGCCTGGTGCTTTATATTTCCCATGCTTGGCGCATATCTTTTACACGCTATCCGGGGACAGTTGACGAGACCTTCTGAGGGCCTGGTGTCTGACTATAATCTCACTATCTTCCTTTGCGCCGCTGAAGTCCGCCCCATTTCACATCTAATCAAGATGCTTCAAAATCGAACCTTACGAGTTCAACGAATCGTCGCAAAAAACCCTCATGAAGAGCAAGCTGTTACAATGGAGCAGTTCGAAGCACTTTCAGCCAGGCTATGCGAGTTGGAAGCACAAGGAGCTACGGGCGACACGTCGTCAAACGCTACTGCGCGACCTGATGTTCCACAGCCAAAATTGATCGAGGCGGCAGTTGCTCAAGAAGTCCGTAGTAGCATACAACCAGAGCTAGATGCTTTAAATCGCGCCATGCGTCGATACGAGAAGAAGCTCACCCTACTCGCATGCCAAACCGACAATCGTATCGAGTATGTCGACTATAGGCTTAATGATGCTATCGCGCTTGCTGCCGTCGCCGCTAAGAATAGTAACGCTCAACGGAACTTTGGCGGGTGGTTTATCGACAAGAGCATTGCGCTGGTTATACTCCCATTCCACGCACTAGTAGCGGTGTCTACCTTTCCTTTCCGGACGGTATCGACTATGCTTAGTCGAAAGAGCAGGTCTTCGTCCGAGAAGACCCAGAAGTCGGTTCGCAATGGGAAAGTGCTTGCTCATGGCAAGACCAGCTCCGATCGCATGCCTACGCGCGTGTCTAGGAGATAGTAGTATTATATTATGTATTATGATGGTACGGGTGTACGATTCGGGACTGTTAGGTTAGGTACGTGTAGTTTGTACTAGGTAATAATAACGGATGGGCCGGCACGGAGAAGGAGGATACCGGGAAACGGTCAGGAGGGGGTGGGTATTAAACGGAGTTTGGACATGGTTCGCTCCCGTCGTGGGTTATAAGTTATAACGATAGGAATTACGTAGGGGGAGATTTACCCACGGGAACGTCCTCGAAGAGCAATTATACAAGTTGCGGTTCTACAAATACTTTTCTTGATGCAATCGCAAACCTGAAATACTATTCCTATGCGGCCTGAGTCAAAACTATCTCGATGCAGTGGAAGTTACCTGGATACCTTAGAATAGGGAAATAAAATTTAAGAAAACGCATGCACTCGCAAGCTCGCGCAAGCGTTTTCACGTGCTCGCAGGCTCGCACGTGAGAATCCGTCGGAAACATCAAATCTCTTATCAATTTTCTTATCATTTATTGATGAATTACTTATCAATTACTTATCATTTCCTTATCATTTCCTTATCAATTTCGCATAATAATTTCCAAGAGTTCCAGCGTAAAAAATGTCTCCGACGGATTATAGTTTGCTTGTCTGTGCGTCTCGATATGCATTTTGTTTTATTTTATTCCCTCTTACAATATGTGCTTGAAATATTGAAAAGACACGTCAGATGCTCCAACCAAGAAACGTCATTGTGCGGGGCGCCTCTCGTAACAGAAAGGGCTGGTATGCTTCTTTGCGCACATCGTAATATTTCCATCTTCGATGATGTCGGATGCGGCTAGGCATCTTTACACTGGACTTGAGCTGACTAAACTACCTAACCTAGGTACCTAAGCTTCCGGGTAGACGTCCTAACGCATGCAGTAGTCTGCATTGGAGGTTATACCTGGGTATTTTAACCTACATACCTCATATGTGCGGTATGTCGTGTATGCGGTGGGTGTTGGGGTCCACTGGTGCCTGGCAGAATCCGGATAGGTACAATACTAGGTTAGATGGATGGACCCATGGGTTCGGCAGACCGGGTCCAAGTCTAAATAAGATTTTATCGACGTCCACATCGTTCTAGTCCTAGGGACTAGTAACCTAGGTAGTGTATCTTAATAAACACCGTAAGCCATTCAAATGCCAAGCTTAGATATGCTTCAATGTTTCAACGGTTAATTCCCATACTATGGTATATCAATCAAGATATATATCTTAGATAATCAGTCACATTCACTTCAAGCCACATAGATTGGTATGAGATCAAAACGCGCCTATATCCTACCCACCCAACTTTGAACCCCACAAGGATGGACGAAGGAAGACGGGTAAAGAAATGCGAATATATTATCGTAGTCTGCTCGCACGTGCGACATGCGTGGGGATGCGTATATTTCCTGCTGCCGGACGGCTGATATTATCGATGCGCGTATCCGGAGTCGTACCAAGTTGCACCACTTTCGAAAGCAAACCTCGTAAGGCCGCCCAAGAGGCAGAGGCAAGTGAGTTTAATCTCGTGATGGGGGTGAGCACACGTCCCATCGACGTACGTTGCAAGATCCCGCCCGTTACCACCCTCCTTTACGCCGCGGGACGAGTCGCCAAGGCGGACGAGGCGTCTCGCTACTACATGCCTCGCGCAAGACACCAATGGTGGTGGCGGGACCCTGGGAGCGTAATTTAACTCTCTTTTAGTTCGCTTGTTCGCTCCGCGTCATTTCAATATTATGCTGGTTTTGGCGCGTTACTTGGTGCTTGAACACATAGGTAGTCGTTCACGACTGAGAAGCAAATCCCTATTCTTTGACCTGGACAATTAGGTCAGTAAAGTCGGTGAGTTGATGATCGTCAATTGCATTGGGCTAGTATTTGATGTAGCCCGAAACGCGCGTGCGGTCGTGTTCTGGTTTGGTTATGCTGTGCTGGTTCCTATTGAGAATGCCGCTGTACTGTATTTACCCTTGCTACTTGCAGCGTCGTACGCGGCGTTGGCTAGATGCGGGATCAGCAGCCAATGCCAGATGAGCGATCGTGAGCAAGGCGACCTGACCTGTCTGAGAGGAATCGGTGGGCCTCTGAGCTTCTCTGAAGACCTAGAATTCAGGAACAACTTGCTTTTCCCCCGCCATCTTCCCAGGACAAAGGATCTGATACCTCGCTAAGCTCAGTGGCTTCACAATTTGACAAATCCGATGCAAACTATCGAATTGCACGCGTCGCGCCTCGTCTCTGAGACATTTTATAATATCTGGGGTCGAGAACGCCTCTCGGTATGCTCCACTGTATACGGCTCCGGCCGTCAATGGGATTACCTAATGGACGAAATGGCATTGGGATTTTCTCGTACTACGTAAATCATACATCATGAAGCAAACCATTGCTGACCTCATGCCAAAAGACGGAGCCTTTTATTCGAATTTTGAAGGACAGCAGAAGAACCAAAAAGAGTAATCAAACGTTGATCGAAGTGGAAAGTGGATAGAAAATGTGCACTAAGGTTTACCGGTAGCCAGGGGTATACAGGGCTGGCAGGGGTTACGCTGCTAAGCTGCTAAGTGACACATTACATTAGCCAATAGCCAATCGGCGGCCAGACCAAACCGTTTGTTGCCCAATCCGGAATAAGCTCCCGTCTTGTTCTTGCTTGACTGGGCCTGGTCTCTTACTCGAAGTTGGAAGGAAGTTGCAGGTTACAGGCAGGTTAGGTATTCTCTTCCGGAGTCCGAGCAGAAAAGTAGCAAGGAATGTACCTAAGCTTGCTTCAACTTACTTCGCTTCACATCCACTCGTCTGTGCTAATCTCCCGCGGTCAACGTCCCAAACGCATTTATTGGATGGTCAGTCATCGTCATTCGCGCATCAATCACACGGCATACGCCCCAGCAGCCTGTCTACCTACACTAGGCCTTGCTCATGAATGATGAATGAGACCTGCTAGAAAGATATGCCGCCAAGTAGATGGGTGGCCTGCTGCACGCAGAAAGCAATTTCGTAGACATATCCTCTGATCCTCCAGCTACGGTGAGCTGAGATGCTACTATGTAGAGAGTACTGAGTGTAAGTACCGTAGGGGATACCTAGATCCTGAGCAGCTGGTCGGTAACCTACTATTATCAAAGTTTTCTCTTTTTTTCTTTTTTCTTTTTCTTGTTCCCATCCATCGGGTTATTAAATCCCAATAGTCTCTTATAGTTCATGCCGGATGCCGTTGCATGAACGAGAAGGAGGCTCAGAGGTTGCTATTGATAACTTTAGTCTTTGGTTTGATGGCGTCTTCTTGATAAGGTTGATCTCCTGATACGTGCCCCTTCTATCCTCTACCCAGGACGCATGCGGGTTGACCCTGAAGTTTCAGTTGCTTCTGAGCTCACTCCATTCCAGAAGTTGGCCCAGTAGCTACCCATCGTTTGTTCGCAGCTTCGTGCGCAGGTACTACGATTCAGGAGTCCTGCGTATTTACATTGTTCGTCGTCGTTGATGTCATTTACCGCAAAAGTTCTCTCTAGTTATACTCAGAGCAAACACTTGGTGCCCTTGTCTTATAGGCGAGTTCATCCTAACTATAGCCCATTACTAGTCATGCGTCTTAGCATATAGTAATCCCGAACAAGAGAAGTGCTTCTCAGAGCGCTGTGCCATTGGTATATAATTTCGACGCCCATATACCTTACAAATCTTTCAAGATGCTTCCTAGGTGGTTGAGCATTTGGACTTTGCTCTATTTACTCATATGTTTCGATTTGGTAACCGCGGGGCGATTGGGACCATATCCGAGACAAGAGACTTCTCCCTCGACGGCGGAGACAACAAAAACGACACAAAATGACGATCGAGAAACAACCCTAGCTCCGCCAGATAACTCGGAAACTCCTTCTAGTTCACCAGCGAAGCCTACATCCGTCGAGGTTACTACTAGTGCAACCAGTACCCCGGAAGCAACCACAATCCCCTCTGCTATCAACGGGAATAATCCGAGCAACGACAACTTCGCCGAAGAGCGTAAGTAGTCCTATTGTCCTTCCTTGCTTAGATTGTACAATATTAGTTTCTAACCGAACAATTGTAGCAGCTGTTGTCACGGGCGAATTGCCCCTACAGCCTCGACTAACGCCAGGATGGGGCGTTTCCGGTGCGATTATGCTCATTACCGGCATCGTGTATGCTTTGGTCGGCATCAAAAATACACGGCTACATACTTTTTTCTCATCGGCGTATCTTGCTAGTCTTTGTGTGGCAGTTTTGATCGTTTACGTTATGAATCCCCCCATATCGGATGCTATTCAGGGGGCTTACGTCGTAGCAGCCGTATGCGCCGGTCTTCTCCTTGGTGGCGCTGCAACTATCTTCAAGGAGCTTACCGAGGGCCTCGGATGCCTTCTCGGTGGTTTCTGTTTTTCCATGTGGCTTCTCACTTTGCACGAGGGCGGTTTGCTTCCGGCCACTACTGGTAAAGTGATCTTCATTGCTGCCTTTACGGTTGCAGGTTTCGCATTCTACTTCAGTCACTATACAAGGCCATATGCTATGATCGGCTTAATGTCATTCGCCGGTGCAACAGTTACGGTTTTGGGTATTGACTGCTTTAGTAGAGCAGGGTTGAAAGAATTCTGGGCTTATATCTGGAACCTCAACGATAATCTATTCCCCCTCGAAGCCACTACGTATCCGTTAACTAAAGGTATAAAAGTAGAGATCGCGATAATCATCGTATTAACCATTATTGGTTTAATCTCCCAGTTCAAGTTATGGCGCGTGATTCAGGAGCATCGTTCGAGACGATTTGAAGAGCGAGCAGAGTTCCAAAGGATGCGGGATGAAGAGGAAGCCAGTGTCGGACGACGGGTCGAGGAAGACAACAAGCGCGAAAGGAGACAATGGGAGACAACTTACGGAGATCTGCCGACGCCATCAAGCCCTACTGTCTCTCGCGACTCGGGAGTTGGTGAGATTGAGAATGAGAATGAGAAGAAGGGTCAGGTCACCCAAACAACCGTCCAACCGGTGTCGCCAAGCGAGACGGAGAACGAGAATGCAATCGAGATGACAGATCTCCCATCTGAAGACAATACATCGTCTGAAGTGGGTAAACATCTGGATGAGGGTCTGGTCATTGCAGGGCATAATGAAGATAATCGAATAACTGTTAGGGTTTCGAGGGATTATCACGATGACGAGGAGACGGCACCCCTACCGGAGCCTGATGAAAAGGCCTGGATGGCCGGTGTCGATAACGAAACGCAACCCGCATCTCCAACATCACTACGCAATTCGCGAAGGATCCCGAATACGACTGGTCCCGAAATAATACCCTTACCGTTCAAAGTGCCGGAACTAGAAGAAGAGAACATCGATGACAACGACGATAGGTCGTCATTCGCAACGTTTGCCGACGAAGACGATCGATCCATTACGCTAAGCAAGAGAGCATCAAGAGCGTCCCTATCACATAGGTTATCTGTGGGTTCAGGAAACTTACTGCGAAGTTTATCCCAGCGTTCTAAACGATCTGAGAAATCTAAACGAGAGAGTGGAGAATTCGAGTTGCCACAGCCGTCATCTAGATGGGGAGAAAGTAACGAAGGACTGGTATCCAAGAATCAGAAGCCTACTGGAGATTCTGGCTCTGTCGCTGCTACCATTGACGGCATGAGCAGTAACGGTGAAAACGGCATAGGAGTTGCTAAATCGGAGAAACCGGCCCATCCAAGGGAAATCAAAGCGGAATTGGCTGATGTGTTGCCGAAACGCGAGTATAATTCTGGGGACAGACCCGTTGCACAGCCAGAGCCTATCGACTCAGGTACCTGCCTTGAAGTTCGGCCCTATTCTACAGTAGAGACAGTTGCAACCGACATCTTGAACCCGTCATTTCTAGGGGAGCCCCTTGGAAGTAAATCGAAAAGGAGTAGCGCAACGAATGTCATAGGAAAGATAGATGAGGCAGATGATGCTAACCTTGCCAACGTGGTGGAATCGAAAACTCCCTCTGATACATCCAAGGTTGCCAAGTCAGCATCGCCATCCGCTGTGTCCTCCGCGAGCCTCATAAAAGAGCATCTCCCTTCTAGTTTGTCACGCGTCGCGCTGTCATATCGCACAAACGAGTGGGCAAAACATCTGACCCTAGCGGAAAAGCCTGAGCCTGATACATTGCACTTAAACGAGTATGCCGAGGCCGAAGAGACTTCGAAGCAGCGAGAGGAAGCCCCAGCCCCTGTTAATGTTGATGAGTTGCAGCAAACAGCCGAGAGCGGTATTCCAGCAGCCTCCATTGTGAGGTCATACTCTTCAGTATCTAATGCCCAATCAAACGTACAGGCCTACCCAAGCCACAGTCTACGGACGAAAGGTCGTCGACAGTCAAGCGATATCATTATTCAACCAATTCTAGAAGAGAAGGGTGACGAACATAGTATTAAAGTCGATGCTATACAGGAGGAGGGAGATGGTTCCGCTTCAAGATCAAGCCCTCCTTCGTCCTTAGAGTTTGAATCACAAGGCATGGATCGACCTTCCGTTCCGGGTGTTGTATCGTACTCCAGTCCTCAGACACTTCTTGGCAAGAGAGACATGTTTCTACGCAACAAATCTCAGTCAACTTTACTGTTCTTACCACCGAACCCCGAGACTACACAATACACACTTAGATCGACCAGCCAGATGGAACAGCCTTATAATTTACCGGCTCCTTCGCCTTTTGCCAGCCAGGATGCTGACGATCTTCCTCTCAGCAAACGAAGAGAACTCATTCGTCAAAGCAGTTTGCTTTCTGCTAAATCGACTACAATCAACCCCAGGCCAAATAGCGCCATGAGAATGCCTTATACGCCTGGTCATAGTCCAGGGCCCACGTCGCCAGTCGCAGCTGACAGCGCGCAGTTCAACTCCCATCAACCTCAGCGGCATTCCACAGCGCCAACCCAAGCGCACCGCGAGGCCCAACTCGCTAGTTTCCGACAGTCCGTTGCTGTGGATCTACGATCCAGCACTCCCGTCTCGCCCGCCGTTAACAACAGCGGGGAGACTCCTCTGGTTCGCTCTACTTCTTCAACCTTGCTAGGACCTATGGGGATTCGCAACGGGAACCCGAACAATGACATTCAGTACAACATCGATCAGCAGAGAAGCGTGCTTCTATCTCAGCGGGAACAAGAAGCCCAGAGAAGAGAGCAGGAGCGCCGAGAGAAAGAACGTAATGAGCGCGCTTTTGAAGAGATGATGCGTCGTGGCGATCTTATAGATGCTCACCGAGAAGCTATGAGGAGGATGCAAAGCAGTATTAAGGATCGATAACGGAAAAGTGTTTAAGGGGCTATGAGCATACGCGTGGGAAAAAAAGATTTATTGTAACGGATATACGGATTTCTGGTTTCATTAATTTCAACTCGGGTCAGGTTGGGAGCCGGAGGAATTTGATACCCTTTCTTTCCCTCCTTTTTTTCTTCGACATTTTCTTCTCGTACCAAACAGTTACCATCGAGACATGTTGGGCCACGGCCTATGCAAACACACACACACACAAACAGATACATCCTTCTGCCTATTTTCTAATATGTAATCTCCGGAATGGAATAAAAAAATGAGGGGCTCGGTCCGGCAACTAGAGGGGACGATGCATATAATGGGTACACAAAACATGCGAGATACCGCCACGAACCCGTGCTTTGGAAATCGTGGCGTCGAGTTAATAAAGGGGAAAGGCAATAGATGTATGTGGTGTAATCTTGTTGCTTCGTAAATGCGTGAGTAGGTAGATATCTACACAGACTTCTATATACGTATAAACATTGCATACTTAAGTATTGGGTGCTAGTTTTATTATACCCCTTTTGCTTCAGTCATAAGCACAAGTGATTTAATACGGTGCTATTTGTAGCTCCCTTTACGAACTTAAATATCAGAAGTGACATAATAGCTTAGGTATGTGAAAGTGATTGTAACCAATTTAATATCACATTATTATATGTTACATTTATATGCGCAAGCTTCATCGAGTCGAACTAACCAAACATCATACCTTTAAATACCTAATTAGGTTAATCACTTCGCTTTATAGGTAGTTATATATATGTGTCATGACATTGCCAAAGGGACTTGATTAGGTAGGTATTTACCTATTACGGAATACAGTTTGCTTAATGTTTGACTCGGAAAATCCCCCGAAGCTGGATATATTCTCGAGAAAACATTTCGGGTTAAATTCCATGACTTAGGCACCTACCCAGGTCAATATATCTGTTGGTAATGTGTAAAACTCTGCAGACTTACTGCCTTCCGCACTGTAAGTGCCTAAGATACATATATGTAGGTAGGTATCAGCCCCAGGCAGGTATGGTGAAAAAAGCACGCTATTCCCCACATCTGACGTTATTCACGCCAAGGGGCCGACAGGAGGTGCTGAAGATACCTAGTATGAAAAGTTACAATGTAATCGCGCCACCAGTTATGCTTTTGTTGCGTCGACAACAGGCAGCTGCGTGCAGTAGATATTAGCGGGGTGTGCTGCCTAAGTAAACCTTACTGCAGTTACCAAATATAAATGATAGGTAGGTTATCTACTGTGGTGCCTTGAACCTCCGGCCTGACGCAAACTTAATCTGACTTGTTTTTTTTTTTTACTTGAGCACACCGCAACAGTCACCCATTCCGAGTGAATAACGTATAAAGACCAGACAATCGCGCGTTTCCTCCAAATTGCCACCTGATACCACTTTATATCTTTTGTCACAAATCCTTTCGTCACGATTCTGGTAAGTAAACAAAATCTTTGTACAGTACGATACACTACTTTTATGTGATCCAGAAACATGCAAGACGTTGTTTCCGTGACTACCTAGCTACTTCTATTGTTCCAGTGCTTACTTGAAAGTTATATAACTGCGGTGCCCCTCCAGCCTCAGTTCGAGACTTCCCTAAACACAGACCCACTTCCACCCCCACATCCACATCCTCATCCAACCATTGGAACATACATCATCAATCCGCCGCCGGCTTTAAACTTCCACTTTGATTCCTTCCCATCAACACCAAGTTGTCAGCACAAAAGCATCAGACATACGCATCTACAGCCTCTATTTGGTTTCGCGACCGAGTTTTTGCAACCTCATACTTATTCCAACCACAGAAAAACTAATCATCTCAATCCAACATCATGGGTGAATCCGAAGCTCCCCCCGCCGCCAACTACGTCCGCCTCCAGTCAAATGACAATGTGCGGATTGATGTCGGTAAGTTAATCGTCTACTCTTCCCTACTATGAATTGTTACTTACATGCATCATAGAGAAGGCTGTTGCGGAGCGGTCGCTCCTGATCAAGAACATGCTTGAGGATCTTGGTCCTAACGCTGAGGGACAGACTATCCCCATCCCCAACGTAAGTCATCCCTATTTAACCATAATGCTGCTATAGCTCTCATCTGCAAAAGTGAACGTCGTTCTAATATATCTACTATAGGTGACCGAGCCTGTCCTTCGCAAGGTTATCGAGTGGTGTGAGCACCATCGTCACGACCCCCCGGCTACGAATGAGGATGAGTCCGACAATCGTAAGAAGACCACCGACATCGACGAGTGGGACCAGAAGTTCATGCAAGTCGATCAGGAAATGCTCTTCGAGATTATCCTCGTATGTATAACCCAATATTTTTACCCTCTTATTTTTGCTGTACGATCACTAACATACCTTTCTCCTATAGGCCTCGAACTACCTCGATATCAAGGCGCTATTGGATGTTGGATGCAAGACTGTTGCCAACATGATCAAGGGCAAATCCCCCGAGGAGATTCGTAAGACGTTCAACATCACGAACGACTTCACCCCGGAGGAGGAAGAGCAGATTCGTCGTGAAAACGAATGGGCTGAGGATCGATAAACGCCTCAAGTCACATTTCCGGTTGTTTTATGATTGCTTAATCTTCACGCTGACTAAGTCTTATCAAGTGATATGGCTGATTTAATGGTGGGTGGAGACAACAACCGGCCAAGAGGGTTCCTTGCGGCTTGCGGCGAAAACCATAGGCATTCCATAGCTGGCCATTTGTGTGTGGCATTGGCATGGAGAAGAGTGGACTCATATTCTTGAGATGAACCACCTCCAACCTTTGCTCTCTTAACCAGTATAGATACTGGATGGTATCAGCAACATTACATGGTTAGAGAGCATGCAAATTTGTTTTAGGAGTTTGGAATTAGCATAATGACATTAGTAAACACCACTTGTGTATTTCATGGTTTCGTGATGGTATATTAATGCATGTGATTTTCCTATTCGTTTATGAGTTGTTGCTGTAATAGTTCCTATCCTATTCTAGATATCGTGCAAAACAGGTACTTACCTGACATCTAAACAAAGACCATCGTAGCGTCAACTATAATTACGTCTAGCCTGCATAAGTACAAAGGCAGGTAGTTGTTGCTCTTGTCGCTGTAGTTTGCACCGCCCATATATACCGTTCTTAAGTCAAAATACTGCTATCTTAGCAACAGCGCCGTAGTTATGCTATAACAACAGTGCCAGGCGCTTCCAGTCTTTGCGGTATCTTAGATATTAACTTACGTATCTTGTTAGACATCAACTCCGTCAATTAATATTTTCCCAATACAAAATACTCTATTCAACGTTGTTGGGCTATAATATTGCCGTCGACCCAATATCTAACTTACAAATAATTCTCTACTACAACCATATACACTCTATCTCTTCGTTACCACCAACCGTCGTCATGAGCATTTCCAACTTCATCAGCACTGGTATGCAATGCATTTCCTCGTGGTGGTCGGAGCGCAAGGAGGTGAAAAGTACAGATGCCTGCCTCTGGTTCGTCCTCGGCGCTGTCGCAGGCTACACGACACGGCCGGGGTGGGAACAGGAACAGGAACGTCCCCAGCTTCCCTTCCCCGGTATCCTCCTGCAAGAGCAAGCCTACAAGGACCGTTCCTCTTACGACAAGGCTGTTGCGAAGGCCAACCGCGACTGGGCTACGTTCTTGAAAATAATTGGGAATATAAAGAGGAAGGCGAAAAAGATGGAGGCGGCGAGGAAGAGGTTGCAGAAAAAGAAGGAGATGGAAGAGGAGATGGTCAGAATGGTGCAGCGTGAAAAGCAGCTTTATATTCATGAGGTCACTTCGGAGAACCAGGAACTGGGATTGGAGCGTGCGAGGACTGCGTGAGGGAGAAGATGCTACGGTAGAGTAATCTTTGATAGAGCATCAACATCCTCGCGCTATGGGCTAGCCTCCTGTCTCCGAACTGCTTTCTACTGCCCATCTTCGATAACGGCAACGACGACAACGGCCCTGTATATCTCTCTTGGATTCTCTACGTTTTGCTCGATTAAAATAAGAGGCAACTATAACAACCTTGGACGACGATAATTTCGACACTCGTCTCCGTAACTTGGGTTTTCACGTCTTCTCTGTATATCTCCATGGGTAAGTCCTCCTTGGCTGGTACTGCTTTTACTGTCAGCTAATGATTATTAGGCTGCGATGACTGGAAAATCTCGCTCCTTGTAGGCTCTTTCGAGCAGAGATAACAATGGGTTAGGGGAACTCAAAGTGAAGATTGCGTGGAAGAGGTAAGGGGATTTGGAGGAATAAAACGAAAAGAACAAGACAAGAAAAAAAGGCATATTTTGGACCGGAACTGGACAACAAGGAAAGCTAGCATGGATTGACTTCCTCACTTGGTTGAAATTCTTATATTTCGTTAGTAGATGCCCAGTGTGACGCTGAGGCAGGTAATATGTACCTATTCGCCTACACGTTCGATCGTGTCAATCACATTAACGGTAAACTTGCTCAGGGGCATCAAAAAGCATCGTAGTTACTTTGTTCGCAAACGCGTTATTTCATTCCCTATGACCAGTACCATGCAAATCTGGAATTGATGAGCCCTGAAGAAAACCGAGAATCGCCCGCACCCATCATGCTTTTCCCCCTCCCGACACAGGATACAGTCTTTGTTCTGCCTGGAAGAAAATCCCACCACCGAGGTAATGCCAGTCTATGTTTGATCCTCCACTGCGAGACCCGTCCCCTGAAGACCGCCTAATCGCTTAATTCCGTCGTGGTGACATGTCGCATTCGGTGGGTGGGCTTCCCACAAACAGATGTAGCCTGATGTAGATGGAGATATAGAAATGCATCTAAATGCCGAGACGGGTCTTGCGCCAATGCCTTCTCTTGGCGTTGTATCTGCAGACCTGTTAGTTATCTCCCTATCTCTATGGGGTCCTTGGCCTTCCTCTCGACTATCTGCCTCGGGATCAAGATATCGTCGGGAAGTTGGCGGGGAGTTCGTACCGGATGGTGTTACCGCTGCGGAGACGAATCCATTGGGGGATAGGTCTGTTCTGCTTTTGCGCCTTGGCAAGCTTCATCTTCGTTCGGAAAGTCTTGTGGCTCTGTGGTTGGGAGTTTACGTTAGTTTAAGTGCGGTTGTCAGATGTCAAAGTAGACACTATCGCCAGCAAGAAAATCAGACAGCCATCACATCACATTCGCCTTCGCCTCGACGATAAGGACAACATGATGCGAAAATGTGGTTGCGAGATATTCTACTAGAGTAGTAGTACCATTGACAAATACATAGAATACATACCGGCATTTTGACTGCTTGTGCTGATCAGAATGTCGAGATTATTTCGTGAGTGTCTTGTTTGAAGGAGGTGGGAATTGTAGTCAAATCACGAAGCAGACTGGAAATTTTGGGTGATCCGAGGGTTTTGCAGCCCCAATGGCAAATTGTGCGCGGCAAGGGGGGGGGGCTTGGAAGTTACTTCGTACCGAGTCTAGGGCACGTGATTATATTACATAGATATGCTGATATGTACATAATGAGATTTGGTTTCGATAAGATATGGAACATATAAACTATGACCAACTCCTCACCTTACCTGCTTACCTAAGGTACCTGCCTATGTACCTACCTCTAAGAATGCTGGACCCATTTGCCAGCTGCTTTTGTCACTTGGCATCGAAAAGAAGAAAAGAAAAAAAGAAGGCCAATCGCCTTGGCGTATGTATTACACTTGTGGCGGCCTCCCTAAACCTTGCTAACCTTACACTATGAAAAGGGACCCTTGCTTTAGTAATAAAGCCAATCTGAAGCCAATCTGAGGTTTGGCCCTGCGCAAGATTTCAAAGCGAACCTGAAAGATCGACACGCCCCAGAAAAACCAAGCTCCTTATTTCTTGTATTCTGACAAATAACAAGTTGTTTTTTTAACTAACGCGTTTACGAAATCCCTCTTCTCCTGACGAACTTGAATGCAGATCTAGACTTCCGCGATTATTCCCGCCTTATTTTAAAATCCCCCATCATTACCTTAGCTGCTTAGGTACCTTAGGTAGTTTTGGACAGCTGTAGAGAAACAGTACCGACGTAACGATCGATCGCGTGGCCATTTCATTTACCTCGGAGAAGGGAGGGCGCCGTTTAAGCTCCTACGTGGATAAAATACATACTACATACTACATACTACATACATACGTACACAAGATGGGCCAGAGTGTATCGTGGCTGTCCAGCCTGCTGTGGGCAAAGAAAGAGATAAGAATCCTTATCCTAGGTCTTGTACGAGCTGACAGAACCCCCCTGTTGGAGCCCATTCGAGCTTCTCTATCCGGAGCAGTACCGGCTAATTCAGCACCTTGCGCAGGATAACGCGGGAAAGACGACATTATTATACAGATTGAAGGTCCGTCTATTACCTATTTCGAATACTTCCATCACCCTCTTGCGCCTCCTCCTTGGACGAACTTGCTATAGAATGACAGGACTAAGCACTAACAACGAACCCCCTTACAGATAGGCGAGGTAGTAACGACAATCCCAACGATTGGATTCAACGTCGAATCCGTATCATACAAGAACCTAAACTTCAACGTGTGGGATCTAGGTGGACAAACTTCGATCCGACCTTACTGGCGCTGCTACTATGCGAACACGGCAGCCGTGATATTCGTCGTCGACAGCACAGATATCGAGCGTCTACAGACCGCCGCTGAAGAGCTAGCTGCTATGCTCAACGAGGACGAACTGAGAGATGCTGCGCTCCTAGTCTTTGCCAACAAACAAGACCAGCCTGGTGCCAAGGGCGCAGGCGAGATATCCGAGGCGCTACGGCTGGGCGAGCTGAGGGATCGCAACTGGAGCATTGTCGCGTGCTCGGCGGTCGACGGAAGCGGTGTCAACGAAGGCATGGATTGGCTGGTGGTAAGTCATATTCTAATTCTTACCTGCATCTAATTTAAGGGGGCGGTCAACTCTACGGCCAGATCAACCCCCTACTTGAATGGATTCCAGGGGTAACGGAACCTGGCTAATACGTTACATAGCAAACCGTATCACAGGACTAAACGAAACGTTTTGATATCGCACAAAGCATTCCTCTGTACAACACTTAACCAACCGTATCAATCCACGGGCATCACTAGCAAGGCCCTTGGCATCTCGAAACACATTTTATTGATACCGCGTCCTTACGGTCTTGGGTAGATGGCTCCGTTATTATGTTAGTCTGATAGGGCCATGAGGTGCAGCGGCCGCTGTGATTGGGAGCATAAGGCGTTTTCTACAGGATTTTTTTGACGAAGGAAGACCCAGAGAGGACACGGGAGCAGGCGAGAGCGATGAATATCAAGTTCGACGAAGAATCTCGAGACACGTATTAGTGGTATGGAGCTGGTCCTGGTCTGACCTGGTCTGGTATGCTAGGTCCTATATATACGACGGACCTCCTAAGCTCTTTTAATTTGCTCTCTCTGGCGGAAGATAGAAGGACAGACAGAAGGATCTCCTGATCCGGCAGCCCGGATCGAAATAATACTGTGTTGGGGTCGGCTCTATCCAGTCGTTACGTTAGATATATTATAATTACCATAGATGCGCGCAGCATAAGGTAAATGACCCAAGTCGTTGCCATCATAGTTCTTGTCTTAGATTGTGTTTCTGATTTATGATATTTTCGTGGCTCGATGGTTCAGGGGAAGATATGTAGATGATGGCTATGTTTCCTGGTAACGTTCCTCTCGTCGAATAGGAGCTTTAGCTCGGCCGTCTTGCCCGCCATCCAGGTTACCGTGCATATCTATGATTCTATGTAAACATAACTTTCTTTGTATAGAAAGTATAAACTTGCTTGGCACAAGTGACATCAAGGTTATCAACATCATGTAAGGAGATACGTGACTTATAGATGTTACCGCGATCAGCTAGCCGCAAATGACATTTTACCTCGAAGGAACTTAGCTGCCGCATTTTCGGCCCCACTTGAGTACTTGGCCGACCACGTCGCCACGAGACCACGCGGGGTTCCGGCCTGACTAGGTACCTATGGGGATATATAGGTAGGTACCTACCTATCTACATGCATCTCCCCAAGATCAGCTCTCAAAAGGATTTACATATATGCCTTGACGGGTAAGCATATAATTCGGATATAAAACCCTGTGCAATCGGAGTTTACAAAATTTTAGGATCACGTTTGTGATGCCTCATTGTGCTATTTGTGTACTTTGTGTAACTTACCTGGTGGCCGGGACAGCCGGAGGCTAAATTTTTTACCGTAAGGAGTGAGAGCCTTGCTGAATATGTATGATATCCAAACAAACCCGGTTCTTTTTATTAGACGGGAGCGGGGGGTATACGCTATATGATGTCATGGACTATCTGCAAGGAGTTGCGGTGTTATAAAGACGAGCGCGTTGAGTTGTCGTCCGGAGCAGTCGATACCTACTTTCCTCGGAAAACCGACAAGAAGTTTGTTTCCTAAAGGGCAAAGACGGCTGGCTGTATGTAGTAAGCGAAAAATTACCTGACGAGTTCCTATATACTGTACGAGCTGCTAAAGACGGTCGAGTCGGATTGCCGAATATAACCATGCGGCACCGACTAGTGTATGGCTTGTCTACTACTACATAATGGAGGGGTTGCTGATGGGCTCGATGGTTCGACCAAAAGACGGATCGATAGCTCAACTATCATCTGCCGGTAAAATGCACTAGGACGACCCGAAAGCGCTTATGATCCTACGTCGAGTCGCTTTCTCCAGATACATATGTAAGTATGTAGGTATGTATGTGTGTGTGTGTGTGTGTGTTGCCACCAGGGTTCCGTTCTTTGATCTTCAAGGGAAGAGATCGGTAAGGAGGCCGGGGGTTCTTCGTTGAATCAGAAGACCGCGGTTAGTAATAGGTAAGAGACCATCTGACATGCAAGTTCTTTATGCTGCTCTGCAGCTCTGCAAGGCGAGATGATGGTGGCGCTTTAAATTTCTCCGCAAAAAAGGCAGGCAATCAATGTAATACGCGTCGCGTACCTAATATTGTAGCCGTAAGCTAAGGGGTGAAGAATGAAGGCTAAAGAGACTAGAGAATCCGTAGAAATAGCGAAGACCGAGAGAGACCGAGCTGCTTATAGGTCTTAGGGTCATTTGCCGAATTGGATTTTATAAATGAAATTGTATCATTGGAGAAGATATAGCATAGTATAGCGACGAGGATGGCATGAGGTTGTATACCTTACATACATACCTATGTAAGGCAAGGCATAACTAGATGTATTCGAAGTATCGGAGAGATGCCGATAAATCGCGGGGCAACTTGAAAAGGTTACTAAAAGCTCACAATTAGCAATTATCTAATTGGCCAACCCCGACCTAGTAGATTTACCCCACTTCCCAAAGTCTGGTACTTTGCGTATTTGGGTTTACCAAATGTAGACCTGAACTCCACTCTGGACCCATCTCCCGTTCACTTTCGTCACTTCCATTGTCAACCTTTCATCTTTTCTCCACCCCCCGAGCCTGGGCTCGTCTCTCCTTGGCTCACCTCCCCCTGTCCTCACCAAACCCCATACATATATGACCGTGCTACTAGAGCAAGCACGACAACCATACAGGCATACAAAGCCCGCGCAGCTCGTATGTAAGTGGTCAGATGAATCAGAATAGTTGGAGTAGCGCGTTGTTACGAGGATGCGAGGAGAGAAGAAGAGAGGGGAGAGGGAGAGACAGGAGAGAGAAGAGGGGGGACGGTTTCATGAAATGTAATTGAAACTTTTCCTATCATGCACATCCGGCGACTCTTAGTAACAAAGCCGAGTAGGACAAGTTAAGGTATGTAGGTTGTTAGGTTAAGTATTTATATCTGTTCATCCCCCCTTTTCCCCAGATCGATTGCTATCTTCTTCCCTTCCCTCCGGTTTGCACAAGCCTAGCTATCTATTCGTACCCCTACCTACGTACGCACATAAGAAGCTCTATCTCTGTGAGGAGGGCTTCTTCGTCTACGTAGTAACATCATCACTCTACTCGCGAAGCTCAGGTAGCGCCCCTGAGTTTAGACAGCCAGCCTGTTTTCTAAGATACCCCCAAACAAAGTAGCTATCGTATCAACTCCCTTAGTCGTAAAGATGGTCGCCAACGAGAAGCCCGCGTCTACCTTTAGGTACAATGAGAAGCCCGTGTACACTACTTCCAATGGCTTTCCTATCGAGCATCCCTCCAAGTGGCAGCGAGTTGGCACTCATGGTCCCCTCCTACTTCAAGACTTCCACTTGATTGATCTCCTCGCCCACTTTGACCGCGAGCGTATCCCTGAGCGTGTCGTCCACGCCAAGGGTGCCGGCGCCTACGGTGAATTCGAAGTCACCGACGACATCAGCGATATCAGCTCTATTGATATGCTGACTGGTGTTGGTAAAAAGACACCAGCCGTCGTTCGATTCTCTACCGTCGGTGGCGAAAAGGGGTCGGCCGATAGCGCCAGAGACCCTCGAGGTATGTTAACTGCCGCTTAGAATAGTCGGTGCGCAATTTGTTAATTAGGGATATAGGATTCGCCATCAAGTTCTACACCCAGGAGGGTAACTGGGACTGGGTCTACAACAACACACCCATCTTCTTCCTCCGAGATCCCTCCAACTTCCCACTCTTCATCCACACCCAGAAGCGTAACCCTCAGACCAACCTGAAGGATGCCACTATGTTCTGGGACTACTTGGTATGTATATACCATATACTTGAATTACTCGCCGGCTTCGGCTTGTAATGCCTTACAGAAGCAAGTTCTAACATAAACCAGTCTACCCACCAAGAATCTGTCCACCAGGTTATGCACCTATTCTCTGACAGGGGAACGCCTTACTCATACCGGTTTATGAACGGCTACTCTGGCCACACCCACAAATGGACTAAACCCGACGGATCTTTTGTCTATGTCCAAGTACATCTGAAGACTGACCAAGGAAGCAAGACCCTCACCAACGCAGAGGCCGGCAAGTTGGCTTCTGACAACCCCGACTTCGCAACCCAGGACCTGTTTGAGTCTATCCAAAAGGGCGAGTTCCCGAGCTGGACTGTCTATGTACAAGTCTTGACACCAGAGCAAGCCGAGAAGTTCAAGTGGAACATTTTTGACCTGACCAAGGTCTGGCCACAGGCTGAGGTACCTCTCCGACGGTTCGGCAAGTTGACGCTCAACAAGAACGTAGAAAACTACTTCGCCGAGATTGAGCAAGTTGCTTTCTCTCCCTCGCATCTCGTCCCTGGTGTTGAGCCCTCGGCAGACCCCGTACTGCAGTCCCGTCTATTCTCATACCCCGACACCCACAGGCACAGGCTCGGCGTCAACTACCAGCAAATTCCCGTAAACGCGCCCCTTCGTGCTTTCAACCCCTTCCAGCGTGACGGAGCCATGTCTGTAAACGGGAACTACGGCGCCAACCCCAACTACCCCAGCAGCTACCGCAACTTGACTTACCAGTCCATCAAGCCTACGAACCCCCACGAGAAGTGGTCCGGAGCTGCTGTTAGCGACCTATTCGACGAGATCCAACCCCACGACTACGAGCAAGCCAACGGCCTCTGGAAGGTCCTTGGCCGCACCCCGGGCCAGCAGGAGAACTTCGTCAACAACGTCGCCGTCCACCTAAAGGATGCGCACAAGGACACGCGCGACCGAACATACGACATGTTCACCAAGGTCAACCCCGAGCTCGGCGCTGCCATCAAGGCCGAGACCGAGAAGAACGCCAAGCTATGAACGTGGCGTGGGATTATTATGGAAACCTAATGCGATGAGAATGAAAATATTCTATAGTTACGAGTAACGTAAAAAGACGAGACTTTCTCTAGTTGCCTAATGCCGCCGTTATCTATGTAGTCACTATAATTTAAAGGTTGAATGCATACCTACCTACCTACCTACCTACTTATATCGTATCTTTACCTTCGTGGAGTATCACGATGCCTTTTCAGTCTGTGTAGTAGTGTCTGTATGCTGAGAATAGTAAACCCTGTTAGTATATAATACCCATAAGCAGTATTTACGACTCTTGATGTTGGATTTTACGAGTTGTGATATCGCTCAAATTGATAATAAGCATATGTACCAAAAATATTAAACCAGAAAAAAATTTTCATAACTAGGCTCGGAGTATCGTCTTAATGCTCATGTAGACATCCGATTTGTGATGTGATATCTCGATACCGTACAGAAAAACCAATGCTCAATCCTGACGCTGTTCGAAGAAGACTTTGAAAAAAAAAAACAAAAGCAAAAACAATACTGTTATCCAGACGCTCGTTACCGGGAGTCGAGTTGCACAGAAAACCCACAAGACCAGTTAACTCCAAGGCCGGATCTGGACCGTGTCTACTATCCACCGGCATGTTAAGATAGATAGGTAGCTAGTCCAGACCACAGTCATATGCGTCTGTCGCGCCTCACCCCCCTGTATAAACCCCACCGCCCCGGGGCGGCAGACCTCTAATCTTGCCGCGGCATCTGGTTGGCCAGATTCATGTGCATCAGGGCATCGCGCTGCCATTCCTCCTCTTGTCCTGCACTGCTTTGCCTGCGGGCCCACATGGCCTCGTTGGAAGCCTCGCGGCCGTCGACACCTGGGAGGCGGATCTGCGGTGG